TACCTGTGGTAGGTGGGCAGCCAGGCGAGGAGGATGTGGTGCCTGCCCCCAGCTGTTTGCACAAGTGGGCATACACCACCGCCTGCACCTCCCTGCTCGCCCAGCAGCTCTCCCAGCAGCTCTCCCAGCAGCTCTCCCAGCAGCTCGCCCCACGGCACAACACACAATCATGCAGCATGCACACCGCACACTCGTCCCCGTGGCATCGCATGGCACTCACCTGTAGTAGGTGGGAAGCCAGGCGAGCAGGATGTGGTGGCCCCAGTTGTTACAGAAGTGGGCATACACCACCGCCTGGACCGCCCTGCTTCGCAGCAGCTCGCCCCACGGCACTACTGGATCCGCGCCCCCCCCCTCCTCCACCAGCCTCCTCTCTTCCTCGCTCTCCCTCAAATCCTCACTCACTATGTCGCCCTGCGGGGGGAGGGGAGGGGAGCGGGGGTTGAGGGGGGGGGGAAAAGGGGAAAGAGAAGGGAGAGAAGGAGAAATTGATAACAAGGCATCCGATTTGACACATCTGGAAAAAACACAGAAACTACATATATCGAATCAAATCAAATCAGGCCGTACCGGCGCGTGGCACTCCTCAAAGACGCAGACGGAGAGCGCCTGATTGGTGCTGGCGGCTGCTGACTCATCAAAGTCTGCTGACGTGACCTCGGATGGCTTTGGGTTGAAAGCAACGCTCCAGAGAATCCCGAGGAACCCAAAGATGTAAAACATGGACTCCCACCCCAGACGCTCGATGAGTACTGGCGCTGCCAGCAGGCTTTGGGGGGAGAGGGGAGCAGGGGACGGGGCAAGAAAGGGGAGAATGAGGGTGAGTGAGGGTGGCTGAAGATGTAGAACAACTCACACCCCACCGCTGCTAGCAGCCTGTGTCAGTCCCACCCACCCCTTGCCTCCCCGCACTCATCCAACCACGCTTCCCGCTCAAAATTCGCTGAACAAAAACGCAATGCCATACTCTTAACACCCCCCCCCCCTCTGTCTTTCACGGAACCCACTCAACTCGCTCAACCCACTCACCCCTTGCCTTTCCTCAACCCACCCTTCGCCTCTCCCTACTCAACCCTCGCCTTCCCCCCTTCCTCCCACATCTCGCCTTCCCCCCTCCCCCTCACCCCTCGCCTCCCACCCGCTCACCCCCACACCTCGCCTCCCCCACACTCACCCCACCACGCCTCCCACGTTGAACCCGTTGAACACAAATGCAATGCCACGCGCGCGCTCCTCTGCTGGCATAGATCTGTGAAGACACGAAAGTGGGACGGCGAAGAGGAAGGAGGATGGATGGACGGACAGGATGCATTGCGATGCAGCCACGCCTTTCCATGGATGGACGGATAGACGGACTAGTGATTGCAGTTAGGGCATTGAAGCGAAGGAATTATAACCGGAAGAGGATGAGTCGGAGAGATAAGGATCGGAGGGGGATAGATATGCAGGACACCAGGGTGTGGAGCGGTGCAGTGCGGTCACAGCTCGGTTCTCACCTGGCGACGATGTCGGTTGCTGCTGGCGGGGCAACGCCCTCCCCGAATCCAACCTGCGAGCAGCAGACAGCAAGGGACCAAGGGCGCAGCGGAGCAGCAGACGCTTAGGGTGATAGTGAGGAGAGAGGACGGTTACACGGTAAAGAAAAAAATTGGAGTTTGTGAGTCGCAGATAGGATGGAAACCGGAGCAGGCAGAAAACGAGAAAGGATAGCTATTGACTAGAAAGGGGATGGGGTGGGAGAGTGGGAGGGAACGAAGGGTGCAGTGACGTGGGAGGAGGAGGAGAGTGATGAAGAGGACTTCGTGGAGAGTGGATGAGGATGAGGGAGAGGACAAGTCGAAAGAGGGAGAGGACAAGTCGAAAGAGGGCGATGACGGACTTACGGCAACACGTGAGAAGAGGAGGGAGGGGAGGAAGGCGGCAGCTGAGGGAATGGCGGCAGTGGCAATGGACCAGATGAGCACACCCGCCCGCAACATGCGCCTGCGATGGGATGTAGGCATGGAGATAGGTGTAGGGCGGCAATAAGACAACGAAAAGATGGCGGCAGAGGGGATGGCGGCAGATGAGCACGCCCACGCGCAGCATGCGCGTGAGATGGGTTGGTGGGGGGTTGAGATAGGTGCAGGGTGGTGACAAGGATGGCAGTAGTGGCGATGGACCAGACGGGCACGCCCGCGCGCAACATGCGCCTGAGATGGGTTGGCGAAGCATGGGGATGTGAGCATTGAGGTAGGTGCAAGGTGGTAACAGGACAAGGGAAAACGAAAATGTCAGCCGGGCCGATGGACCAGATGGGCAGCCCACACACAGTATGCGAGTGGGATGGGTTGGTGCGGCATGGGGATGGGGATGTGGGCTTCGAAATAGGTCATCGGGGATGGCAGTAAATGGGTGCATGCACGTGTGACTACACACCACAAAAAAAGTTACGCACGTTCCGGTGAACTTTTGGCAGAGCCAGCCGGCGGGCAGTAGCGAGAGCGCGTAGCCCCAGTAGAAGGACGACTGCACGACGCCCACCGTCGTGGCGGACCAGCCGAACTCGTGCGCCATGGGGATGATCGCGATGCTCAGGTTCACCTGCGCGGGGGGTGGGGAGTGGGCGGGGAGCGGAGGGGAAGTGGGGGGAAGTGGGGGGAAGTGGGGAGAGAGTGTGGGGGGAGTGTTGGGGGAGTGGTGGTTACGTGTTGGACGACTGCACACGACGCCCACCGTCGTGGCGGACCATCGTGCGCCATCGGGATGATCGCGATGCTCAGGTTCACGTGGATGGGGGAAGGAAGACGGAGCGACGCATATGAAAAAAAACGAGCAGCCGCGGTCACGCTCATGTGCAGCCGCGGTCGAGCAGCGAGCAGAATAGGAAGAAGAGGTAAAGAACGACTTAGGTACATTATCTATCTATGGTGCAGAGGAAGAAACGAGGAACATAAATCACCTTATCCATGTTGCAGAGAACGAACGCCAGCGACGTACTAAAGATGACCCAGTACCGATCCGGCATGTCTTTAAGCGTTGCTCTCAGCCGACCCAAAGCCGACAAAGCCGCTTCCGCATCGTCCCCGCCTGCTTCCCGCCTCCCTTGCAGCTCCTCGCCGACCGCTCCAGCTGCTGGTATGGTCGCCGCCCCGCTCGTCTGCCGACTCGTTTCGCGGGACGCAGGTGCGAAGCTTCCCGCCAGCTCCCCTTCCGCAGGTGTCGTTACGGCTGCCGAGGCAACTTGTCGCTGCTTCGACAAAGGTACGAGGCCGATCGGGCGAGTCTTAATCTCGTCTGGCTGCGCTCCGGGAGACGACGCGGAATTCGCGTTATTCTGCGACGACGCTCTGCACGAAGCCGGGAAGGAAGTCCTAGGAGACGCGAACGTACGTTGAATGTAGCCGCGGTGAGCCTGAGCCGACGACGTTAAACAGAACCCGTCGCCGAGTCGCAACACCTGGTAACCACTAAGTGCTCCCGTCCGTCTGAGACGAGAGGTGGGTGGAAGGCTTTGGGACTTTTCTGAGGTCGGGAGTCTATGCGAGGTCTCCAAGGTCGGGATTCCCGGTAATTGACACGCCATTTCGCAGCAATTCAAGCGCGCTGGTCGATTAATTTGCACTTGAAAAATCGCGGTGGTGTATTACGTTAGCCTGTCACCATAACCACCTGGGCCCCAGGTGGGGAATGCACAAGCTTGCGTCCAGGCGATGCTTATTCGAGGTAACACTTCCAGGTGACTTTAGCGGGATGGAGAACGAAGAAAGCGGCTAAGGAGCGGCGAATTGGCTGACAATGGCAGCTTGCTAGTCAAGGGTCCTGTGGCTCTGGCGCCGCTCCACGAGCTCCAAGCAGCAATAGCTTACTCAGCGTGATAGTCCTGGTTCACCTTTCCAGGAATGATGGCTGGCGTCGCACTGAGTTTGCTAGAGCAGTCGGCTTCTGAGGAACTAACGCGCGTCACGGAGAGTGAGCAGAGCACAAGCTCGTGAGAGGCACGAAAGCTCCAGTGAAGCAAAGAGGCATCACGAGACTCGGGCGGTGACTAAATTAAAAAAGCTGAACGTGAAGAAGCCCCGCCAGAGAGGGGAGGGTGAGTTAGTGAAACTGTACATGGGTGGGTGAGTGGTGGGAGTTGGACCGTGAGTCATCTCTCGAGATTGACCACAAGGAAGGCCAGGGCAGGCGTGTGGAAAAGAGATGTTTGGTAGGCGATTCGACGAAAAACTGCACGAACGATTACCCGTTGATGCGTAACATGCTTGCGGCACCTTATTGGCTCAACTCGCTGTCACGACGGAGATTGCGCTTCCTAACGAACTTCGCCGACCCGATTGTCCTTGCTGTGGCTCAGAAAGTAAGCAAAGTGGTGCTGCCCGCAAACGAACAATGTCCACGTGCATCCAGCAGAAGCGCGCCAACTGTGTGAATCAAGGAACTCGAGGCCGATGACGGCCAATCCCCTATCGGCGTTTAGGGATATGCTGCCCGTGGTCTGTCCGCGCTTCACGGGCAAATGGAAGCAATGGCATTCTAGTGTGCTCCGGAGAACAGTAGGTCCCATGCTATGCCCCATGACAGAGTTGAGGTATTCATTTATGCGCCGATTCGTTTTCGTGAAAGCACTCGGAAGTTCGCTCCTTTGTTACAAAAAAACAGGAAGATAAGACCTTGGTAATTGAAATTTTGAATTTCCCGCCACTGCAAGCAGGTTCGCACACCACCCGCAACATGCCTCCAAGGCTCCAACGGTCATATTCTGCTTCCAACTCCAAGGTCTCGAATCCCGAAGTCCATTACCCTGGCTCCCTATTCAGGCCCCTGAGATTGCCTCCACTTGTACTTACTGCATAAGCATTATGTTCGTGTAAAAACGCGCCTCTTAATGCCCGAAGCAGTCTCATCGCTTACAATACGTGATAAGGACGCAACGAGTCTGATCGATAGGTGCCGTCGTAGAAGCGCCCAATAGTTCCGGCGTAAAAGATCAACGTTAGTTTCCAATCACACTACGAGCTATGCCGGTGTACAAAATATGTTCAATACCCGTGTCGTTTCCATACGAGGCGTATGAGTGCCAGATTGTGTACATGACTCAAGTCATGCAGTCTCTCCTTCAGGTGCGAAAGCCTCCGTTCTCCTCCTCTGCTTTTCTCCTCCGCGTTTCGCGTTTCATCACATGCGCCCTTGATGGCCATGCTGAGGGAGTGTCAAAGCCACGACTGTTGCATGCCGTTTCTGTCAAGATCGCCGTTACCTTGCCTTATACGTTCTCTTTCGAAGCCCGTTCTCTTTGCGTTAGCGTCTCTTCCTGAGCCCATTTTGAAACCCATCCATCGCCTCGACGCCCTCACCCCTCCCTCGTGGCCCGCAACCTTTGCTCCGTCCCGTCCTTTTCATCGCGCTGCCCTCTGTGCTCTCCCGCTAGCTCTTTCTTCCGCCTGGGGAGGAAGTCGCTTTCGCATACTGTGTGCCTTGTTACTAGCACAACTCGTCAACCCCTACTAGTCTTCAACCCCATGCAATTTCATCATTAGAAAATGCCCGCATTTCCCGGTGCAGGGCGGAAACGGGCTGCTGGAATCGCCGACGGGGACGGGGAAGACGCTCTGCCTGCTCTGCGCGTCCTTGGCGTGGCAGGCGAACCTCATTCGCGCAAAGAAGCGCCGGGAAGCGCAGCAGCGGAAAGCCGTGCGCGAGGGGCGGGGGACAGTGCGCCAACCAAGTCAGGAGGCGGAAGACGGGGGATACGCAGCAGTGCGCACGTCGCAGGGGTCGCACGAATCGTCGCAGGGCTCGCAGGGGATGGGGTCCCAGGGACTAGGGTCGCAGAGGATGGGGAAGCAGCAAGGAGCCGCGGGGATGGGAGGCGGGGAACACGGCGGGGGGATCCAGAAGGGGGGGAACGGGGGGCCGCGGAACGGTTTCCCAGGGGGAAGTGGCGGAGTATGTCAAGCGGCGGAGGAAGACGGCCTGGGCGGAGAGGAAGAGGAGCGCATCCCGACGATTATCTATGCGTCGCGCACACATGCGCAGCTGCAGCAAGTGGTGCGAGAGCTGAAAGCGACCACGTACCGGTGAGTGCGTGGGGCGAGGGCACGCAACAAGTCGATGTTGAGAAGGCACTGCGTTTGCGCCTTCAAGCTGAGAGGCAGAGTGCAGAACTGCACGTGGTTTGAGGCGTCTGAAAGCCCTTTCCAGCTCCTCTGCTTGCCTTCCTTCTAACCAGGCCACGCATGTGCATTCTGGGGTCACGAGAGCACACGTGCGTGCACAGGAAGGTGGGCAAGCTGAAGGGCAAGGCGCAGAACCACACGTGCAGGCAGCTGGTCAAACGCCGCAAGTGCCACCACAACCTCATGGCCGCAGGTCAGGCTGTTAGGCGGTTGCTGCAAGTTGGCATGCCACTTCCTGTTTTCTCTCCTAACCCCTCAACGTATCAGAATGGCATGAGCTGCAGCCACGCTCTACTTTCCCACTCTGGCTGAATGTCCAGTATCCTTTCCTCCTCTCTGTCACCCCCCCAAACTAGGTATGGGAGGAACCTGCACACGGCAACTGAGCCTCACAGCACCTCCTCTTGCCCGCTCCTCACCTCAGAGCTCTACGGTATCCATCCCCCCTCTCCGTTACCTCACCTCTCCCCCCAGACTATGTAAGGATGAACCCACAGAAGGCATCAGAGCCGCATGACATTGAAGACCTCGTGAAGCTGGGCCAGATGGAAGGACCGTGAGTCTTCTTCCCTCCACCTCCCCCACCCTCTTTGGCTCCATGCTCTTCCTTTGTCGCCACATATGAACCGTGTCTCAGCATCTCCAGATGATTTGTGAATCCACTCTGTATGCGTCTGTCTGTCCATCCTTTGGTTCCATGCTCTTCCTTTGCTGCCACAAACAAACGGTGTCTCAGCTATTCTAGGAGTAGGTTGGTGGAGTTTTCCTGAGCCTTGTTAATCTCTCCAAAAATGTATTGTTAGTTCTGGTTAAAGGCTTTACAGTCACTTGCTTGTACCTCTCCCCATCGATGCCCCTTCCATGCTTGTGGCATTCCACCTCCAACCCCATACCCCGCTGACACTTCTGCCCCTCCTCTCGTTCCTGCTCCTCCCTCCCCAGATGCCCTACTCACCAGGCGTTTTGGAAAAGTGGAAATAGTCTTCGAGCCCTGCACCCACGTGCTCGACCACGCTTCTGGCACTCTCAATTGAACTGAACCTCTCCCCGCCCCTGTCCCGACCCATCCCTGTCCCGACCCATCCCTGCCCCGACCCATCCCTGCCCCGACCCATCCCTGCCCCGACCCATCCCTGCCCCGACCCATCCTTGCCCCGACCCATCCCTGCCACTTGCCCCCACCAGATGCCCCTACTACGTCTCATGAGGCTTCCTGGAGAAGGCGGAGATCAATTTCATGTCCTACAATTACATGCTGGACCAGGATTATACACTGCAGGCACTTTAATACTTTCCCATGTCTGCCACTTGCCCCCCCCAGCTGCCCCTACTATGTCTCACGAGGCTTCCTGGAAAAAGCGGAGATCATCTTCATGCCGTACAACTACGTGCTGGACCAGGATTATCGCAAGAACCTCAAAGTGCTCGAGATGAAAGGAGCCGTGCTCATATTTGACGAGGCGCACAACCTGGTGGGTTCGCTTTCCTCCCCCCCTTTCCCTCCTCCCCCTGCTTCCCTCCTCCCACAACTTCTATCTCCTCCCCAATGCACAACCTGGTGAGTTCTCCTTCACTCATTGCCCTGGCTGCTGCCCGCCCAGTCCACACATGGCTCAAAAGCATGAGTATTGAAAGAACCTCTCAAAGAGCTAAGGCTGAAGCCCACAACGCCTGGTGGGCATTCCTTCCTGTACATCCCCTTTTCCTCTTGATTCCTCTCCTCTCCCTCTCTCGAATCCCACTCTCTTCATGCCTCTGTGCTCCCAGGAACGCCTGCTAGCAGATCAAGCCTCTGTGCAGCTCTCCACGTCACTCCTCTCCGCCTGTGCAGCCGAAGCCGCCAAATGTGCCGCCATTGCCACTGCCCGCCTTGCCTTTCCACCCTCCAGCAGCCAATTTTCGGAGGGGGGTGATGGGGGAATGGGCGGCGGCGGTGGGAAAGGGGGACGGGGAGGAAGAGGGGGGCGAGGAAGGGGAAGAGGAGGCGGAAGGGGAGGGGGAAGGGGAGGGGACGTGATGGTGGGAGGGATTGGTTATGGGGATGTTGGAGGAGGAAGAGGAGGAGGAGGAAGAGGAGGGGGAGGAGGAGAAGGGGGAGGGGTAGTGGGGGAAGTGCAGCCGGACACATTCAGCATTCTGCAGGGTCTGCTGCTGGCCATAGAGAGAAAGCTCCTTGACTTCCCCATGCACAGCTTCGTCCATGGCTTCGCTGTTGCTGCCCGCACTGCTGGTGCAGCTGCTGGCGGATCTGGTGCTGCCTCTGGCGCTGCTGCTGCAGGGGGCATGGGTGCTGGAGCAGGGGGGGCAGGGAGTGGAGGCGAGTGGAAGAAAGGGAAATTGGTTGGGGGAGGCGAGGAGGTGGGGGTAGCGTTTCCAGGAAGCTACATTTACGAGTTCCTGGCACAGCTGAACATCAATCATGTGACCGTGATGTCCCTGTTCGCCACTGTACAGCATGCATTGCTGCTTCTCACTGATGGTGCGTGATGGCTTCTGGCATTCTCAAATGTCTTATGCGACATCTCAAAATGCGTTTCCAGGGAGCTACATCTACGAGTTCCTGGCACAGCTCAACATTAATCATGTCACCGTGATGTCCCTGTTTGCTACTGTACAGCATGCGCTGCTGCTTCTCACCGATGGTGCGTGTGTGGTACTACCTGAGGTGTGCCCCGATCAGGTTACTAGCTCTCTCAGGGCACCCATTCTGCACTGTGTCAAAACGAGATATCCCTAATGTAACACATGCACATGTGGCCAATCGCGTGCACACATGTAACCAGTTACACGGCCGGCAGAAGCTCTTTCCTCCAGTCGACGTATCCTTTCTTCCTTCTTCCGCTCGTTGCTGCCTCTTCCCCATTCTCTGCTCTCCACTCTCCGCTCCCCACTTTCTGTTCTCCACTCTTCCCCCCCCTCCATTCCGCCCCACCGCATCATTCCCAAACAGATGCTGCAGCGTTGTCACCAGGCGAAGCAGAGGCTGGTGGAGCAGCAGAGGCAGGCGGGGAGCAGAGGAATGGGGGCACGGAGGGAGGGGCGTCAGGGCGAGGAGCAGGGAACCCGGCCATGTCGTTCCGCCTGGAGCAGCTGTGGGCAGCTCTGCAGCTCATCTTCCCGCCCACTGGACCCACCTCCCACGCCAATTCCTTCAAGGTGCTGCGCTGAGCTCAGCCGAAGGTAGCGTGATCCGCCCTCCTTAGTCTACTAAAAGTATGAGTCGAAAGTAAATCCTTGACTAATGAGTTCATTCCGAGTCGAGAAAAAGAATCGAAGCTGAAGGTGAAGGTGATTAGTGCGATGCACTCCTTCGCGAAGTCCACACACACCCGGCCCACAGTGGTTCAGTTCAGACGCTCAACTTTTGAGTCGACTCAAAAGTAAGTGCGTTGCACTCCTCCGTGAAGTCCACACCCGGCCCATACATTCCCGTGACGGGAGAGGGGAGAGGCTCTCCTCCGTGGTTCAGACGCTCAACTGGTGGTGCTTCGACCAACATCCATTTCGCCATCCATCGCTCGTCATGCTCCCACCACCCCCCCACCCCCCCCCCTCCACACAGGTGTGCATAACAGAGCGCAAGGTGAAGGCAAGGAGAAACGCATCAGTGGCTGCCTCCACCCCCTCCGTGGTTCGGACGCTCAACTGGTGGTGCTTCGACCCGGGCCTTGTGATGCAGCAGATCAGAGTGCTGGGGGTGCGATCCATGCTGCTCACCAGTGGCACCCTCTCCCCTCTGCAGCCCTACGCTTCAGAGCTGAGAGTGTGAGTGTATGGGGGATGCAGCACGTGTATTCACCTTGTAATATGCAAGTGGTGCACTAGTTTCAGGCCTTGTGATGAAGCAGATTCGGGCCAAGGGGATGCGATTGATGCTGCTCACCAGTGGCACCCTCTCCCCTCTGCAGCTCTACGCTTCAGAGCTGAGAGTGTGAGTTTATGGGGCATGGAGCACATGTAAAGTCCTTTGGTAGACTCTGTTGTGCATGTGGGGTGCTGCAGTGCATGCGAGTGAGTGAGAGGTGCTGTGCCTGGTTGGGTGTGTTTCCATCCGTCTCGTTGCTAGAATCACCATTCTCTCTTCCTTTTTCTCCCTCTCCTCTCCCCCATTTCCCAACACCCCCCACCACTCGTAAGCAGCCCCTGCCAGCAGCAGCTGGAGAACAGGCATGTGATCAGGCAGGAACAGGTGTGGGCGGGAGTGCTGCCGGTGGTTCCTCTTGTTAGCAACACCACAGAAATACGCCCCTTCTGCCTGCTTCCCCGACAAACCCCCTTGTGATTTTACAGGCCCTTTCAGCAGCAGCTGGAGAACAGGCACGTGATCAGCCAGGAGCAGGTGTGGGCGGGTGTGTTGCCTGTGGGGCCGTCAGGGGTGGCCCTCAACTCGGGCTTTAAGACGCGCTCTCAACACGACTACCTGCAAGACATGGGCTCTGCTATAGGTGTGCTTCTTTATAAGCATGCTTCGTTACTGGTGTGAACTGTTATATGTGTGCTTTGATATAGGTGTAAATCGTTAGAATTGGGCGCTAAGTTGTGTGCACAACATGGGCTCCGTTAAAGGTGTCTCATTACAGGTGGGCTCTGTTATAGGTATACTTCATTATAAGTTTGGCTCATTATAGGTGAGCCTCACTATAGGTGTGCTCTGCATAATGTGATTAATCATACCAGCATGCTCACCCTTCTCCTTCCCTCAACCCTTTCCCTTCCCCTTCCTGCTCCACCTGTCCTTCCCCTTCCCCTTCTCTGTGCCGCCCGCAGTCAACATATGCCGCATCGTCCCGGGCGGCGTGCTTGTCTTCTTCCCCTCCTACTCATGCATGGACTCGTCGATTCAAGCCTGGCAGCTTCCCGTACATCTGCTCTCCTCACCTCCATCGCACCTCCTTCACACTCCCTAACACGCACACCTCTGCCACACCCCTCCCTCAAACCCTCCCTCACATCTCCTTCACACACCTCCCTCACTGCCCGCACCCCTTCTTTCTCCCATTGTGCCACAGCAGCATTCACTGCCAACTTTTTCATCATGAACTGGCTGACAAGTCACCTATTTAACTGCTTTCTACGACCTCATGTTCCATTTTAACACCATTGGAAGAATAATGAAATTCTGCTGCCTATCATCTTTCGCCTGCCAATTACCCATCCATCAACGTATCATCCTTCTCCTGCCTATCATCCCTGAACATGCTTCTGCCTGTCCTTCCTTCAATACCTCCTTCCTACTCACCCACCCTGCCGCCCAGCCTGCAGGGCGGCACGATTCGGCAGCATTATCGGTGTGGCAGCGCATCGGCATGCAGAAGCAGGCAGTGGTGGAGCCACGGGACTCGGCGCTGCTTGGTGAAGCGAGGGAGGTAGGTTTGTTGAGGGGAGGTAGGTTCGGTAAGGGAGGTAGGTTCAGGTAGGCTTGGTAAAGGGATGTAGGTTCGGAAAAGGAGGTAGGTTCAGCAAAAGGGTGAGCCAAGGATGGGTGAACAGGCACTTATGCATGGCCAAGGAGGGAGGAGGTGAGTTCGGTCCAAGCAGAGAGTTGGTGAGCGTGTAGTCTAGGCATGTGCCTTGTTCACCCCACTCCTCTGCCATCAGGACTACATGAGGAAGCTAGAGTTTCCTCTTACATCACCTTTTCCCCTGTCTCACCCGCACTCCTCGCCTTTGCTGTGCCTTGTCCACACCCACCCTCTCTATTCCTTTGGCCTGTTTACCCCCCGTTTTGGCCCGTGCCCCACCCATCAGGACTATGTGCGGAAGCTAGAGGAGGAAGGTTCCAAGGGAGCTGTGCTGTTTGCCGTGTGCAGGGGCAAGGTAAGCACATATTGGGGCAAGGTAAGCACGAGCTTTCCAAAATCCTCTCAGACGCTTTCCAAAATCCTCTCAGACGCTTTCCAAAATCCTCTCAGACGCTTTTCAAATTCCTCTCAGATGCTTTTCAAAAGCTGCCTTGCTTCTATGGTTGAGTGCGGATGGCCATGCTTTCTTCAGTTTAGAGTTTCGAAACCCATACGGCAGACGCCACATCAAGATCTTTTGAAGAGCCTCAAAAGCCGTATCTCATTCTGGCACGCAGGATTGTGTACAAATCATCCATGCCTGCCTGCATACATGTGTACATGCATTCAGCGTGGTTGCAAAATGCGTGTGAGCTGCCGCAATCTCCGTTGCCCTGAGCAGGTGAGTGAGGGAATTGACTTTGCCGACCATCTCTCCCGCGCTGTTGTCATCACAGGCATCCCGTACGCACAGCAGCTCAGCCCGCAGGTGAGCCTGGGTATCTCATTGGTTAGGCCGCAGGTAAGCCAGCGTATCCCGTACTTTAGCCTGCAGGTAAGCTGGGGTATCCCGTACTTTAGCCTGCAGGTAAGCCGGGGTATCCCGTACTTTAGCCCACAGGTGAGCCAGTGTAATCCGTAGGTTAGCCCGCAGGAACGTTCGCAGGTGCTTTGTTTCGCTGTCGTCGTCACAGGCATCCCGTACGCGCAGCAGCTCAGCCCACAGGTGAGCGGTGAGCCAGGGAACAGCTTTTGCCGCCACGTGTTCTCATCACTCACTGGCAGAAGATGGCATCCCGTATGCACAGCAACCCTGGCCGCAGGCCAGTCTTGCGGTGCCCTCGGTCGAATGTGCCTTGAACCTGCTGTGTGTTGTGCGTTGTATCATTCTTCTGGAATACTCTTCCCCACAATCTGGTGGCTGAAGTAGCGTGATCTGCACTAGAGGGTCGCGGCCACATCAGCACCATCAGCACCAACAGCATCAACGGCAAACACCGTTCTTCCTTACATCATGTCTTTTCAACCGATCTTTCCTCGATTGTCGCTCCCTACTCTAACCCACCAGGTGGTGCTGAAGAAGAAGTACCTAGATGAGAGCGTCACAGCCCACCACCACCACCTGTACCAGCAGAACCTCCCACGAGAACCACCTGTACCAGAAGGACCTCCCACCAGCACCACCTGTACCAGAAGAACCTCCCACCAGCACCATCATCAATCAGTGCTCGTTTGACTCCTCTCAATTCTATCTCAATCCAGGTGGTGCTAAAGAAGGAATATCTGGATGAGCGCATCACGGCCCACCAGCACCACCTGTACCAGCATCCAGAGGCATTCGCCTCCAACTGCGCCTCCATTGTACGCACATGTGCTGGTTACTTGCTATGCTGCCCAGCGTGAGTATGCTACAACGCCAGCGAGCCTTGACCGGGCTGGCTAGGTGCTACCGATATGTTATGGCTTTGTTTGTTTGCTTCCGGATGCTGTCGGGTGTTGTCAGATTTCATCCCTCTTCTGCCTCCTCTGCCTCTACGCCTGCCGCCCTTCGTCCCTTCCATTCCACCAGTCGCCAGTATCAGGAGCGCAGTGGTACACTCTCGATGCCATACGAGCCGTGAACCAGGCAGTGGGGCGAGTGATTCGCCACCGCCACGACTTTGGCTCCATTATCCTGCTGGACGAGAGGTGGGCATGAGGAAAGGGGTTGATTATCGAGTTTCGCGATGTCTCAAAACTTTGGCTCGATTGTCTTGCTGGATGAGAGGTGGGCGTGAGGAAAGGGGGTAATCAGGCTGCATGAGATGTGTGCGAATGTGTTTACTTCTGCCTCTTCTGCTCCATCTCTCCCATCTGTCCCCATCTTTGCCCATCTGCCCATCTCCCCCATGTCCCGCATTTGCCCCAATCAGGTTTGCGGAGCTCAAGCTTAAGTATCATCTCTCCATGTGGATTTATCTTCCACATTTTTATCCATCTTCCCTGTCCGAACATCTGCCCCATCTGTCCCCATCGTCCCCCAATCAGGTTTGCAGAGCCCAAGCTCAAGGACCGTCTCTCCATGTGGATCCGCCCTGCTCTCAAGGTGCTCCCCCTTCTGTCTTGCTTTCTCCTTCTCTCTACGCCTCTGCCACCTGATTCTTTGACCGTATGTGCTGACCTTCCCCCCTCTTCACCTCGTTCGCTCTCTATGCGCTCCTCTCACTCCCGTTTCAGCATTGTCGACTTCTCGCCTGTGTTCCAGCGCAAGTGCCCTTTCGGTCCAAACCACCCCCTCCTCCCCACCAACCATCAGGTATACAGTGGGTTCGGCGAGGCGGCATTCTCCCTCACCAAGTTCTTCCGCAGCCAGCCCAACGGAGCCTGCCCCAAGCCAACCTGCCCAGACCCAACCGCCCCAAGCCCCACCCATTCGCCCACCCACATGCATCCTGCTGCTGTCACTGCTGCTGCTGCTCCCACCACCGGCGCTTGCCCCATGACCTCCAAGCATGCAGCAGAAGCTGCTGCTGCTGGTCTGCCAGGAATGGACGTTCTTCCCCCGTTTCCCACCAGCCGGTCCCTGCTAGACACAGGTAGGTTTCTCCGAGGCAAGCCCAGCAGTACCCAGCAGTACCCAGCAGTACCCAGCAGGATCCAACAACGTGTAGCAAGGTTGAGCACGTGCACTGCGACTAAGCCACGAGCTGCGGGTAGTGGGCAGTGGGTAGTGGGTAGTGGGTAGTTGGTAGCGGGTAGTGGGTAGTGGGTAGTGGGTTGTGGGCAGTGGGTAGTGGGTAGTGGGTAGTGGGCAGCGGGTAGCGGGCAGTGGGTAGTGGGTAGTGGGTAGTGGGTAGTGGGTAGTGGGTAGTGGGTAGTGGGTAGTGGGCAGTGGGTAGTGGGTAGTGGGTAGTGGGCAGTGGGTAGTGGGTAGTGGGCAGTGGGCAGTGGGTAGCGGGCAGTGGGTAGTGGGTAGTGGGTAGTGGGCAGTGGGTAGTGGGTAGTGGGCAGTGGGCAGTGGGTAGCGGGCAGTGGGTAGTGGGTAGTGGGTAGTGGGCAGTGGGTAGTGGGCAGTGGGCAGTGGGCAGTGGGTAGTGGGTAGTTGGTAGCGGGTAGTGGGTAGTGGGTTTTTTTTTTTTTTTTTTTTTGGGTAGTGGGTAGTGGGTAGTGGGTTGTGGGCAGTGGGTAGTGGGTAGTGGGTAGTGGGTAGTGGGCAGCGGGTAGTGGGCAGTGGGTAGTGGGTAGTGGGCAGTGGGCAGTGGGTAGCGGGCAGTGGGTAGTGGGTAGTGGGTAGTGGGTAGTGGGCAGTGGGTAGTGGGTAGTGGGCAGTGGGTAGTGGGTAGTGGGCAGTGGGCAGTGGGTAGCGGGCAGTGGGTAGTGGGCAGTGGGTAGTGGGCAGTGGGCAGTGGGCAGTGGGCAGTGGGCAGTGGGCAGTGGGCAGTGGGCAGTGGGCAGTGGGCAGTGGGCAGTGGGCAGTGGGCAGTGGGCAGTGGGCAGTGGGCAGTGGGCAGTGGGCAGTGGGCAGTGGGCAGTGGGCAGTGGGCAGTGGGCAGTGGGCAGTGGGCAGTGGGCAGTGGGCAGTGGGCAGTGGGCAGTGGGCAGTGGGCAGTGGGCAGTGGGCAGTGGGCAGTGGGCAGTGGGCAGTGGGCAGTGGGCAGTGGGCAGAGGGCATCCACCATGTACAGCTAGCTACCTCATGCCTCTGTTCCCCGCTTTCAAAAGTTGGCACAGTTTCTTTCTCCTGTACGATCTCATCTGCTGCACTCCCCCACCCACCCCCAATGCGCCAGACCCCTTGCTGGTGCCAGCAGCCAATGAGGTGTCAGTAGCAAGGCGGCAGGGAGCAGCCACGAGGGGGAAAGAAAGCAGTGGTGATGGGAACGAGGGTGCTGACAGAGACAGAAATGCTGCAGGAGGCGTTGACAGGAGTCAGGCGGGTGGAGAGGTGAAGCTTGAGGGTGGCATGGCAGGGAAGGTGCGTGGAGGGGAATCAGCATTGTGGGGGTGAGTGTGGTGTGGCTTTATTGCATACTCGTATGAGTTTGCAGATTACGCCCTTCAGTAATGTGTGTGTGGTAAGGTTGTGGGGGTGTCACTCACACTCTGTGTGTAGGTAGGGGAAGCTAGATCTTGGGTTTCAGTCAAGGTGCTCTTATCTGGATTCGGCTCAGCACTTTTGAGGTGTGTTCTGGACGACTCAAAACATGCCCATAAAGCTAAATACTGGGTGTGAGTCAAGGCACTCGTATCTGGATGTGATTCACCACTCTTGACTGTAGGCTGAGTGACTTGAGCGGAGATGTGTGCCTCTTTGCAGGTCGATGGTTCGCTTCGGGATTGCTGCAGGGGCTGTCAACATCCTCTTGACTAGCAACAATATCCTTTGTTTTGAGACGTCCCAAGCAATCTGCTTTTTCTCTGCATATTCCTCCTTGCCTCCTCCCTTTTCACTCCACCAACCTATCCATTTTCCCGTCCCTATCCGTATCCTATGCGTGCCCATCTCTCACAACAGAACTCGCGAGTGCCCTCTCTCTTCTCCCCCACCATTCCCCGCCTGCCTGTAACCTCCACCTCCTCCCTTCTCGCTGCTGCTCGTGCCCACGTGAGCACACACCAGCCTGCACCCAATGCAAATGTATCAGCTAATCTTGAGACATCTCAAGTGCAGCAGCAGAAAGCATCCAAGCAGCATGAGTCAAGCACACTACTAGCAGCACCCCTGAGACCACAAGCACCCAGCACTCAACACCTACCAGCGACCCAGCAAGAACCAGCCACGCCACCCCAACCAGCCTGCAAAGCTTATTCCACCACCATACGAAAGTCAACCACGAAATGCGTCTCCCCTGCCTCTCCCACCATTGACTTGACTCAAGACTACGCACCACCCGACTCTGCTGCTTCTCCTCCCTGCTGCTCCCCTCCCGCGTCCCCTCCTCTCCCGTCTGCTACGAATGGTGTCTCCCCTGCCTCTCCCGTTATTGACTTGACTCAAGACTGTGAACAACCTGACCCTGCTGCTGCTGCTCCTCCCTGCTGCTCCCCGCCTGTGCCCTCTGCTTTGCCTCCCGCCTATTTCCCTGAGGCCGATAAAGGGAGGAGAGGGACTGGGCAGGCGGGAGGGAAGAGGAGGCGGGATGTGGAAGCTTTGCAGGATGGACGGGTGGCGGATAGAAATGGAATGGGAAGGAGAGGAGCAGAGGGGGCGAAAGGTGACGATGCAGAGAGGCGGATGGAGGGTGGAGATGCAGCGATGAGGATTGGAGATGTTGAGATGATGATGAACGGTGCAGATTCAGAGAGGGAGATGAAGGGTGGAGATGCAGGGAAGAGGAGGGCGAGCGGGGAAGGAAGGGAGTGGAGCGAGCAGCAAACTGAAGCAGGCACTGGATTAGCAGGTGCAGGAGATGCAGGGCGAGAAGTATTAGTGGGCCATGGGGATTGCCTGAGAGGTCCCGGCGGTTGTGGCAGCGGGGGTGCACCACCTTGGACCAGGGCTGAAACTGAACCGATGGGGCTGCAGCGGGCTGGGGCTAAAGCTGCACCAATGGGGCTGCAGCGGAGCAGCAGAGGAGCCTCTCAGAACGAAGACTCCTCAGCAGGTCCACGGGGTGAATGTCTAGCACCAGAGGGGCCCCTCAGGAGCAGAGGAGTAGCAAGCTGCCAGGGGAACGGTGCAGGGAGAAGAAGAGCAGCAGATTCGCAAGGGAATGGTGCAGGGAGTCTTGCCACCAGGGAAGGAAACGGTGCAAAAAAAAGCTTTGCCAGGAAGGAGGAGGACAACAGGCGGGCACGCGAGTACCTGAGTGTGGTGCAAACCTCCCTGCCACTGCCGGACTTCCAAACCTTCCTCTTCCTGCTTCGGGAGTTTCGAAAAAGCCGAGCGCAGGTTCGGCAGCCCCTAGACCAGCAGCAGCAGCCCGTCGTTTCCTCTGCTTCTCAGCCAGCAGCAGCGGTGCCAGTGGGCGTTGGAGCGGTGGTGAGTGGTGGTGCAGTGTTGACCTCTCGCACTGACCTGCTGCATTCACTGGCATCGCTCTTTGCGGCCTCCAACCAGCTGCCGTTGCTCGCAGGGTAAGTCGCTGCTTGCTTCTGCTAGCAACGTTGGTCACTGCTTCTCTTGCTGCTATGCGTTCAGCCATTTTTCCTTCTGGTAGCCAGACTGCACCCGTCGTCGGCCCTTTCCTCCGACTCCACTTTTTACTCTTGGTTTGTCAACTAGAAAATATCCTGCTGCTTGTCTATGAGATTTTTATTCTTGTCCCTGTTGACCTTTGGTCCTCACCATCCCCCCCTTCCACCCCCCTCTCACTCGCACCTGTCACCAGTTTTGATGCCTTCCTCAGCAAGCAAGAGGACAAAGCTACGCTCAAGGAGTTGTTAGGAGAGACACCTGGGTAACTTCCAGCTACCATTTTTCACTGTAGTGTCGATCCTAACCCGACCCTAGGCATTTTGGAATCACCAATGCTTACACGTCCCTGATGGAAAAAATCCCAGTGCCGGGGATTATAGCATGTTATAACAACCCGTTTACATGACCAGGTGAATGATAAATGATCAAGTATTTATTCATAGCATTTCCAATGCTTCACGGCCGGGTGGGTAATACTAGTGGTGTACATGATGCTCACTAGGCAAAGAGTCATATCATTGCATTCCTTTTAAACTCTGCACCCTCGTTTTCACTTTGACTTCAATTCTTGTTAGAACTGCCTTCTTTCTGAATATCAATAGAAGGTCAGACGATTTTGAGTGTTTTTAACAGTATGTCAAATATTCCTTAGTGTTCCTCCTTTCACGTTAGCAGATTCTATTTTGGAGGCGTAATAGAAATCGGCATTCTCGTCCAAATTCTGCACTTCTCGTGACCACCGTTGCGTGTCGCCTTGGCGCCTATCGTCTTCGTTGTCGTCGGCAGCAGCAGCAGCAACAAGGAGCAGCATTTCTCGTCATGGTGCCCTCGCTTTCCGTGGGGCTTGCAGGATTTTTCACTACGGGCCTTCGTGCCTCTTCCCTCTGTCTCTTGACTCTCGCGCTCGCCGTTAGCACGGTTCGCGCCGCGTCCCGTCCCTTCGGTTCGGTTTCCGCGGGGAATTTCGACAGCCGCCTACGTTCTGCCACGTGGCATTCGTCAGATTTCTCGCTCCCGTCGCACGCGAGTCGCTTGGGTGTGCTTCTAGAAAGAGGTTCTTCTGGCGAAGTCACGTCCGTTAGAGTAACAAAAAGGAAAACAGAAAGCACATGGATCCATAACGAGAAAGCGCGGGCGGAATTCGGGGAGGGACGTGCGGAACGCGGAGTACAGGCGGAACAGGAAAGGCAGGGGGAAGCAGGGAACATGGGGAAGGAGGAGCAGGGGAAGGCGGAGGGGGAGCAGGGGCTGGGGAAGCAGGGAGAGGGGGAGCAGGGGGAAGGGGAGCGCGGGGAACGGGGGGAATCCGGAGCGGCGGAGTGCGCGTGGGGTATTTTTCAAGAGTCGATGCTCGACGTTGGGTGGCATTTTTTGTCCGTAGCGACCAACGCGTCGTGCTCCAGCAAGGACCAGGCGTTTGCAGCGGGATACGCGGAGGGGCAGCTGACGTCACTCCCCATGCAGCAGCATTTCGTTAACGAATTCGGCAAGTTAAAACGCTCCCCACGCCTGCTGCAGTACCTGCAAACGAATCGTGCTTATATGGAGGATATGGTCGCTGCCGCCGACGCTGGTGACGTGGCAGACGAGGATAGAACGTACTGGTGGCAGGTGGGTTGGAAAGGGAAGTTGAGGGCCGAAGGGGGAGGGAACGGGAATTGGAGAGAGGAAGAGAAGGGAAAGTTGGTGGAGGTTGAATGGGCGGGCAGAGGGGTGGGACTGGCACACAGTCCTCATTAACAAGTTCGAATCTTGCTTTTTTGACACTTTATAATCACTCGTCCCCTCACTAATCTAGTAGTGGCCTAGCCTATCCCGCTTAACAACCTTAAGGTGCTTCGCCGCCCTACCATCCCCCCCCTCCCATCCCACGGCAGGTGGGTCTGGTGCTGGAGCAGGTGAGGGGGCTGCATATGGGCTTTAACGATGCAGTCAAGCCTGAAGAGAGGCTGCAAGGTGGGCTGCATCCATTCATGCTCCCATGCATCCATGCACCCATGCACCCATGCACCCTTGCATCCATGCGTCCATGCATCCATGCATCCATGCATCCATGCATCCATGCATCCATGCTACATCCATCCATGCACCCATGCACCCATGCGTCCATGCTTCCATGCATCCATGCACCCATGCATCCATGCGTCCATGCATCCATGCATCCATCCATGCCTGGGCTTTGTGATTCTAAGAAGCTAGTCCACCTCGTCACAAGCTCCTGTATTACTCACATTTACCCTTCAGTCTTCATCCAACCAGATCACATATTTTTCAATTGTTCATTTCCATTCACTTCTCCTGCTCGACGTCTTTCTGTTACTCACCCCACCGCAATGCACTCCTTCCCACCGCTCGCCCGCCACCAGCCATCGACTTTGACATCATGAATCTGCACGGGGATATCCAGGATCTACAGTACGTACTCGATATAGCGCATGCTGCACAAGCGGACCGTGCCAGCATTGACGCGGATGGGAACAATAGTGGAAGCAGAAGCGATGGGGCCGATGGGGGCGGCAGTGGGGGCAGCAAGGGGGGCGAGGGTGGGGAGGAAAGGCTTATGCTCGTCTTCCCAGATGCATGCTCTGCCATCATCAAGGTGAGTCTGTTTTTGCAGACTTTTTCTTAAGCTTGAAGATCAGCTCGTTTCCAGCTTTTATGCACGCGGTCGTTCTTTCAGGAAGCAGGTTTCGCATGCATGCATGATGCTTCTACCCTACCCTACCCTACCCTACCCTACCCTACCCTACCCTACCCTACCCTACCCTACCCTACCCTACCCTACCCTACCCTACCCTACCCTACCCTACCCTACCCTACCCTACCCTACCCTACCCTACCCTACCCTACCCTACCCTACCCTGTGCAACCCATATCCTTGCTCTGCATCCCCTATGCCCTGCACCCCCATGTCCCACACACCACCACACCAGCTACTGCCAGGCAACGCTGACCTGCTCACGGCTCAAGCCACGTCCCTTGCCCTGTACTCCCTATTCCCTGCACTCCCTATTCCCTGCACTCCCTATTCCCTGCACTCCCTATTCCCTGCTCCCCATCTGCCCTTCCCTGCGCCCCCTATCTTATGCCCCTCGCACCCCACCACCACCACCACCGCCAGCTACTGCCAGGCAACGCTGACCTGCTCACGGCTCAAGCCACGTGGACTCGCCTCGAGACCATGCTTCGCATCTACAAGTCAGTCTGCCAGCCCCCATGCCCCCCATGCCCATTATGCCCCATGCTCCCCATGCCCATTATGCACCCCATGCCCATTATGCCCCCCATGCCCATTATGCCCCATGCTCCCCATGCCCATTATGCCCCCCATGCCCATTATGCCCCCCATGCCCATTATGCCCCCCATGCCCCTACTACACGACTGCATCTCTCTGAGAAATTACTGAACATGGCATGGTCATCATCCCAGAAGTTTTGCCCACCACCCAATCTCGATTGCTGTGTTGTTGATAACCTTAATTTATTTTTTATTATTATTCTTTCATTCGTCCTTATTGTTCTTTCTTTTTCCATTCTTGATTTAACTTCCTTTGTTCTTTTTTCCCTCAATCTTTCTCCTCTTTCCTACTCTCTCCCTGCCCGCAGGTCCTGGAGTGGATTCGCAACGTGGTGGCCAACCGGGTGGCGAGCAGCGGGCGGCAATGGGTGGACGTATTCTCGCGGCACAACAGCGGCACGTACAACAACCAGTGGATGGTCGTGGATTACAAGCTCTTTCAACCAGGCCTACCTCCCCCGGATGACACCCTCTGGGTGCTGGAACAATTACCAGGGTAGGTGGTGTTATGTGGAGTAGGTTGAGTGTGGCACATACAACAACCAGTGGATGCTGGTGGGGTGGAACACAAGCTTTCTCAACCGGGTCTACCTCCCCTAGGTGACACCCTCTGGGTGCTGGAGCAGCTGCCAGGGTGGGTGTTATGTGGGTTGCATGGTGGGAAGGTGGTGTTATATGGAATAGGTGTTATGCGGGGAAGGTCGTGTCAGGTGCAGCAGGGGAGAGGGAACAACCAGTGGATGGTCAAATCACACTCGATGGAAGGGCTATAAGCTCTTCCACCCACGCCTGCCTTCCCCAAATCACACTCCAGCCGCTGCCAGGGTGGCTGTTGCGTGGGGTAGGTGTTATATGGGGTAGGTCGTTTGTGGCACATGCAGGTCAGCATCAGATGATTCTTGAGGCGCCTGAAATTCAACCTGCCTTTTAGCCTGTGTCTCCCTTGTCCCTTCCCTTCCCTGCAGGCACATTGTAGCGGAGGATATGAGCGCCCACCTTCGATCTGAGGGCTACTGGGCGTCGTACAACAACCCCTCCTTCCCCGCCATTTTCAACCTCAGTGGATTCGCTGATCTGGGTAGGTTGCTTCTGAGTTGACTCGACAGAAGCACAGACCCGCTCTCAACTCAGCCCAATTCCCTGCCACGTAGACTTATGCCACCCAAGTGGCGCTGTGCTGTCTCGATTTAAAGCCCTTGCATGCTTTACTATTCAATACATGCCCTCTTGTTAACACCAGTGCCATCCACATCTGACATACCATGCCATGCACACAATGCCATGCCATACCATCCCACACCATTCCACACCGTGCCACACTATGCCATGCCACACCATGCCACACCACACCTTACCATGCCACAACACACCACAACACGTCGCACTGCACCCCACCACACCGCACCACACCCCACCGCACCCGTCCATCAGAGCGGCGCCATGGCTCGTGGTTCTCCCACTCGCAGTGCCCCCGGGCCAAGCTGTTCCGCAGGGACCAGGGCAAGGTGCGTGCAGAACAACTTGGTTCGGGGCCAGTGCAAGAGGGGGGAGTGATGGGGGGATGGATGGGTGCGTGGGTGGGCGCGTGGGTGGGCATGTGGGCGGGCGGTTGGGCAAGTGGGTTGTTGTCACTCATGGTAGAAGGGCAGCAGTGCTAGTGAAACGCTTTAGCAAGTAAGAAAAAGAGTAAAAATTCCCTAGGCTAAGAAAACTCTGATCGCAAGAACTGAATTCACTCAATCAGAACGGGTGGGTGGGCGAGCGGGTGGGTGGGCGAGCGGGTGGGTGGGCGAGCGGGTGGGTGGGCGAGCGGGTGGGTGGGCGAGCGGGTGGGTGGGCGAGCGAGTGGGTGGGCGAGCGGGTGGGTGGGCGAGCGGGTGGGTGGGCGAGCGGGTGGGTGGGCGAGCGGGTGGGTGGGCGAGCGGGTGGGTGGGCGAGCGGGTGGGTGGGCGAGCGAGTGGGTGGGCGAGCGGGTGGGTGGGCGAGCGAGTGGGTGGGCGAGCGGGTGGGTGGGCGAGCGGGTGGGTGGGCGAGCGGGTGGGTGGGCGAGCGGGTGGGTGGGCGAGCGGGTGGGTGGGCGAGCGGGTGGGTGGGCGAGCGGGTGGGTGAGTGGGCGAGCGGGTGGGTGGGCGAGCGGGTGGGTGGGCGAGCGGGTGGGTGGGCGAGCGAGTGGGTGGGCGAGCGGGTGGGTGGGCGAGCGAGTGGGTGGGCGAGCGGGTGGGTGGGCGAGCGAGTGGGTGGGCGAGCGGGTGGGTGGGCGAGCGAGTGGGTGGCGAGCGAGTGGGTGGGCGAGCGAGTGGGTGGGCGAGCGGGTGGGTGGGCGAGCGAGTGGGTGGGCGAGCGGGTGGGTGGGCGAGCGAGTGGGTGGGCGAGCGGGTGGGTGGGCGAGCGAGTGGGTGGGCGAGCGAGTGGGTGGGCGAGTGGGTGGGTGGGCGAGCGAGTGGGTGGGCGAGCGGGTGGGTGGGCGAGCGACTGGGTGGGCGAGCGAGTGGGTGGGCGAGCGGGTGGGTGGGCGAGCGAGTGGGTGGGCGAGCGAGTGGGTGGGTGGACACCAAACGGGTTCACACAGAGGCACTCTTTATTGCTGTTGAGACACCTCAAAGGTGTTCGGAAATGATCAGCACAAACTGGGTAGTTTTTGTGCTTCCAAGTGCTCACATTTCATTGTCTCGCTGTGCCAGTGGCATGAGTTCCATGTGCCCATGTGCCCTGTAACACCGTTCCATGTGCCCACGTGCCCATGTGCCGACGTGCCCATTTGCGCATGTGCCCACACCACATGTGTCCATGCGCCTATCGCTGATGGCAGGTGGTGGACGTGGCATCGCTGCAGCGCCTCATGCGATACAACGACTTCAAGCACGACCCGCTCTCCGCCTGCAACTGCACCCCTCCCTACTCCGCAGGCATGCCCCTCTTGCTTTGCACCTCCTGAGGTGCCTAAAGACTTTTGAGTTTTCAGGCCCCTCAGAAGTCACCCCATCCTACTCTGCAAGCGCATCCATCTTGCTTTGCTTTGCACACCACGTGTATTTTGAGTCGACTGGTCCTTTCTCCGTAATCGCTCCTTTGCATTCATCTGTCTTCACTCGCAACCACCCTCACTTGCAACCACCCTCACTCGCAACCACCCTCACTCGCAACCACCCTCACTCGCAACCACCCTCACTCGCAACCACCCTCACTCGCAACCACCCTCACTCGCAACCACCATCACTCGCAACCACCCTCACTCGCAACCACCCTCACTCGCAACCACCCTCACTCGCAACCACCCTCACTCGCAACCACCCTCACTCGCAACCACCCTCACTCGCAATCACCCTCACTCGCAACCACCCTCACTCGCAACCACCCTCACTCGCAACCACCCTCACTCGCAACCACCCTCACTCGCAACCACCCTCACTCGCAACCACCCTCACTCGCAACCACCCTCAATCGCAACCACCCTCACTAGCAATCATCCTTCTGGTGTTTCAAGTAACTTCTTTTTTCATTTATTGTATTTTTTCACCCTGCCCTCTTCCTGGCCAATCAGAGATAGCAATTGCCGCACGTGGGGATTTAAACGAGGCGGATGGGCAGTATGAGTTGCCGTTCCTGGGCCTCAGGGACCATGCAGAGACCGATTCCAAATTAACCGGGTAATTGTACAATTTATCCTGACTTGCAACTACCAATACAACCACTCACCCAATATTACTAGACAATTTTGCATGACCATGCTTCTCAAGTCATGTCATCATTGCCTTGTCATATCATCACCATGTCATTGCCACGTCATGCCATGTCATTGCCACATCATCACCATAGCCATAGCCATCTCAGCCAATATCGTTCTGTTTGTTGTCCATACCACAAGTATCTATGCGGTTACCATATTTTACAGTACAGCCAGGCAGCAGTGTAACGCATGTGTAATGCTCATCACCATAGCCTTAATGGTACACTGGCCACAACCAGAATGCTAACCATGAATGTAACCATGCCCATGCCTGCAGGTACCACATGTTGCAGCACAGCCTGGCAGCGCTGGCAATAAGCGGGCCCACATATGACCAGCAGCCACCATTCCAGTGGAGCAAATCACCCTTCGCTAACGTCTCCCATCTGGTGAGTGGAGAGGTTCATGCAGGTGCAGAGTGGTTTAGACGTCTCAGAAGGATACCAGGCAGATTCAGAGCGGTTTAGATGGCATTCAAATGCCTTCCAGCAAACGTCACTCAGTGCATATTGATTTGTGAGGGAGGTTTACCATATGCTGTGAGGCACGGGCTGGTAGATGGCTAAGAGCATGTGAGAAAGCGCAAGAGAGCGATGTGCAATGTGTATGTTGGAGGAACAGAAGTATCTGATTGGGTACATTGATTCTCCATCAGCTCACATTGCATCTCTTGATATGAACCATGTGCCGTGTGCTGCTCCCTATGCGCCATGTACAATGTACCATGTATCATGTACCATGTGCCATGTAACATGCATGTGCCATGTGCCATGTACCATGTACCATGCATGTGCCATGTGCCATGTGCCATGTACCATGTATCATGTACCATGCATGTACCATGTGTGGTGTGCCGTGTGCCATGCTGTTTGATGTGTGGCATGTGCTGCTGTGCATGCTACACATCCACCAGGGCCATCCGGACCTGTTTCTCTTCCCATGGCTCACCATCAGCTATGGCACAGAGGGCACTGGCACCAGCCACAGCACTGGCACCAACCGACTGTCTGTGGAGGTTCCTTCCCATACCCAACCACGTCCGCAGGGCACAGCCAACATGTAGAGTACGGCACATGGCTGTATGGAACAAGGGTAAGAGGCTGAACAAAATATGTAGTGTACACATGCTGTGAAGCTCTAAATATTGATTTGCCCTCGATTTTGGTTCCTTCTTTTGTGTGACTTGGTGTCCTGTAGTGGTCCGTTTATAATGGGGATAAACAGTGCCATCCCATCCTGAAGAATCACAGAGAACTCACTACAAATACTACGGTATGGTGTCCAGCCCAAGTCATACCAGTATGGGAATCTACAACAAGAACGCATGCATTCCCCTTGCATCCTAATAATTGACCACCCCTGATGCTGTTCCACCTATGCCTTGGGTGCTGCTGGGGCAATCGGAGATCCCGAGGTTCCCTCCGGCCCGTTACTCCCAGCCGTCGTCGTCGCAGCGGCGGTCAGCGCGGCGGCAGCGGCGGCGGCGGACCCAATCTTGACTCCGCCCGCTGCTTTCAACGCGCCGCCGATCTTAGCCGCAGCCGCCACTGACCCGGCTAACGCGGCGCGCACGATCACTCCGATATTCGGAGCCATGGTTGAGCGCAGCGTGCCTCCGTGTCCTTTCAAGCTCGGCTGTAAAAAAATCAAGCCCAATTTGCTTGTCAAACCAATACGACAAGCTTATTGGCCAGCTGGGCCACCTTTCGACTTGACGATAAGCTGGAAAGTCGAATCTATTGCTGTTGAACAAAACACGTGAGATTTCCTAAGCGTGAGCCGTTCATATCAGTGGCGAGTCGCGCGTTGATCGTTGCATGAAGAGCTTGAGTTGCGGCGCTGAAAGGTCGTGGTGAATGCAAGAGGTTTTGGGAGCTATGGGAACTCGTGATCGGGAAATGCTGACAGAGTTCAGCTTGCATATGTGGAGGAATATGCTGGTACATTATAAGACTCTCCGATATCAATTCACAGCATCGACACCTCTACATTGTGTGAGACATAAGCATTTTTGTAGGCCTTTTTGGACAGTATTGACCAGAATTCCCCGCAACCCGTCAATGTCACTTTGCAGCGCAACTCGTGCACACCTTTCCGCGCGCACTGCGCCACCCCCTCCCCCTGACATCGTCGCGCGCGGAACCAGGATCGGACCGTTTGCGCGCAGTGGCGTATTTCGTGCGCAACTCAGGAATTGGGAATGGAAAACAGTGGTGGGATGGTGAGGGGAGAGCCAATATGTAAGGGCGTGTCCAGCGCGTACATTTACAGTTCATAAACCCATTCAGTTACCACATTTCCTATTGTAACACTGCATTTTACAAAAAGGTTGGACACGATCAGCTTCCGTTCACAAGACGGCACGCCCGCTGCGCGTACGACGAATCGTCTAACACACGTTACTGGAATCAGTGTGCGCGCGAACAAGGGTACAGCATTGCGTCCTGCCCGCTACAGTAATTTTCGTTCAAGCGTGGAATTTTCGCTTGTGCGTGAATTTCTGTGCGATGATAGACGAGGCAACCAGTTACCTCGTTTTCCACGAACTGTAGAAATTTGTGTGCAGAGGGTTGTGTCCGCGCGCTGGAAGGCCCAATCCTTCGGACTCGACTCACCTTATATTCGTTTTTTGGTACAGTGAGATTTTTTGAGCCGGGAAACGTGTGAAGGTACTAATATTCCCAAAATGTACGCGCTGGACACGCCCTAAGCATGTTTCTGATCAGGCTGGCCATTTCTCGAGGTTCGAGGATCCCCAGGTGGAAAATCTCGAGGTTTCAGCTGGAAGGAGGAAGCATGAGTTGAACGGCGTGAAGCATTCTGAACTAACGACAGCGGCGAACTCTGCGACTATTGTAGTAACGACAGCGGCGAACTCTGCGACTATTGTAGGTTTAGCGGTTAATAGAACAGCTTGTTTCGGGCTTTAGTTCTTGCTGAGTCAAGATCCACCTTGCGATTGAGGTTATCTGATTAAAATCCAATCGTTGATACTCTTCGCCTGACATCTCACAGCGATCGTCGTTGCCATTGCTATCATAACAGCAGTTAAAGCCAGGGTCTCACGTAAGCTAAGGAGCCATCAACCCTTTACGCCGGTCTTGTCTCCTTGTTAGTGCCTACATCTCAGCCGTACACCTGTTTGGGTCTATTTTCGTACACCTTTTCTCTTCAGTGCATCTTCCATCCTGAAGTCAAGCCGCGTATGACTCTGTACTTCTCTTTGTTCTTTCCATACGATCCCTTTCCTGATTCCAGTGGGTCATTTTAACGTTGAATTGCCAATTGCTTGCGTCCACTTCACGCCGTACGATTGACTCCCCTCGTTGCCAATCACCGCCGTCGGATCCCCGGACCACCATCTCCGCATTGCGCCATGCCTCCGCGCGCCAGAAGAGGCGGGGCTTCTCGCAAGACCCCCGCATCCACCTCTGCCCGCGGAAAGGCTTCCCCTGCCGCTGCCGCTTCCCCCGCTTCCCAGCACGGACTTTTCGACAGCCCCAGCGTTGCTGAGGTTCCGATCGCTGCGTCGCCGCTCGCGCTGCCTGGGAAATCTCCTGCAAAATCTCCTGGGGGTCCTGCTGCGGTTGACGGGTCGCCAGGGCAGACTGGCAGACAGCTGAGGAGCCAGAAGCCTGGAGAGTCCCCGAGCCTGCCGAACGGAGGGTCGCCGAAACCTCGGGGAAGGAAGCGAGGATCGTCAGATGGGGAGAAGGACGCTAAGAGACGGAAGTCGGGCGAGAAGGGCAAGGGAGGTGAGTTCGCGGAGGGGTTGGGGGGGAAGGGGGTGGTTGGGGTTGGACAGATGGGAGGGGAAGTATGAGGGGGAAAGGGGGAAGGGGGAGGGTGGGTGAGGAGAGGAGAGGATGGCAATGGTTTTGATGTATGATCGCTGTTATAAACTCAATCTCAATTGTCATGGCAATTTCATACAGACTGGAGCCTCGCACACGACTCACTCGCGCCTCTCCCCTCTCTTCCCACCACAGCCGCGTCACCAGCAGGGAAGGCCGCGGCAGCAGCAGCAGCAAAGGCAGTAGCATCGCCAGCAGCACGGAAAGCAGGAAAGGCAGGGAAAGCGGGGGCAGAAGGGGAAGCGGGAAAAGAAGGGGAAGAGGAGAAAGGAGGGGAAGGAGGGGAAGCAGAGGAGACGGTAAAGCAGGAAGACGCAGACGAGGCTGCTGAGAGAGAGGACGAGGGGGACGCGGACGAAGAGCAGGGGGGTTCAGGCGAGGAGTCTCCAGCAGGGGGGGAGCAGCAACGGCGGGGCGCGCGCAGAGCACGCGGAGGAGGCAGGGGGGGAGCGGGAGGCGCAAGCAGCGGCGCAGGGGCTCGCGGACGGGGTCGTGGGGCGCGGGGGAGGGGGGGAAAGGCTGGCGCTGGTCTTGTTTCCCCTGACCGCCCCATGTCCCCAGGGGGAGCGGCAGGCGCGGGGAAAGGAAGAGGCCCCAGGAAGCGGTCCCCTGCTCCCCCTGATGGGGAGGCAGGCGGAGCGGGGAAAGGGGGAAGGGGCGGCGGGGCGGCGGGAGGGGCGGGGAGAGGCGGGGAGGAGCTGCAGGAGGTGGTGCACGAGGCTGGGGCGGCGGGGAGTGCGATTGTGAGGGATGAGAAGGCGTTGGACTCGGTTGTGAAGGTGTTCTGCGTGCACACTGACCCTAACTTCTCCCTCCCGTGGCAGCGCAAGAGACAGTACAGGTAGGCTGGTTGATGACTGGGTGCCTGCAAGAGCTGGGTGATGTTTCGGTTCCCTCTCTATCCTTGACTCATTCTCCTCCTCTCTCCCACACCATTCTGCCTTTCTCCCTCACCTGCTCCTTATCTTTGCTCGCTCACCACCTCCCTCCCCTTCCCTTCCCGCCCGCATCCCCTCTCCGCCCTCTTCCTTTCGTCCCCCTACCCTTGAGAACTGCACCACAGTTCCAACAGCAGCGGGTTCATCATTGAGAACCGCCGTGTGCTCACCAACGCTCACTCTGTGGAGCACCACACGCAGGTGAGGCGTGAGGACGAGCAGCACAGGTAGAGATGCAGTGGTTCAGGTGAGCAGCACAGTCAGGTGAGCACCCGTTCTGCTTCCACTCGTCTCCTCATTTCCATGTTACTCCATCTCGCCCAGTCCCTTCCTCTTCCCCCACGCCGAGTTTTGAGTCGACTCGAAACTTACTCCATCTCCCCCAGTCCCGTCCTCTTCCCCCACGCCGCTGCTCCACGCCCCTCCCTCTACCCCGCAGGTGAAGGTGAAGAAGAGGGGATCAGACACCAAGTACCTCGCTACAGTACTTGCTTTAGTTTTGAAACGTCTGAACACTCAAAACCCTCTTCTTTCTTTTCGTCCTCTGCGCTCTCCCCTCCCTCCCTCCACCCTGCAGGTGAAGGTGAAGAAGAGGGGATCAGACACCAAGTACCTGGCAACAGTGCTTGCTGTGGGCACAGAGTGCGATATAGGTATGCGTACTCGCCTTCTTTCAGCTAGGTATCTGGTATTGTTTCCTAGTTTTAACCCATATTCGTTCATTTTCCTGTCTCTTCCATGTGTCCTTCTTTTCCCTCATTAACCCTTCGATATTCCCCCATCCTCCTCACTCTCCCCCCACCCATGTGCCCCCCTCCTCACTGTCACGCACTCCCATGAAACTCACTCAAAATGCAGCGCTGCCGTCGGTGGAGGATGATGAGTTCTGGAAGGATGTGCAGCCGTGTCCCATTCACTCATCCCCCTCTGTCACCCCTCCCAACCCCCGTTCATCCCCTTTCCCTTCTCCGTGCAATCGCACCGATTGCAGCGCTGCTGTCAGTGTAGGACAACGAGTTCTGGAGGGACATGCAGCCATGGCCCATTCACTTATCCCCCTCGTCGCCCCACTCCCCCCTCATTCATCCCCCTCGTCGCCCCACTCCCCCCTCATTCACCCCCCTCGTCGCCCCAATCCCCCCTCCCTCGTCGCCCCACTCCGCCCTCATGCATTGCCGTTACCCACTCCCCCCCACATGTGTCCCCTTCGTTACCAAATCCCCTCCCCCATCCATCCCCCCTCGTTTACAATGCAGCTCTACTGTCAGTGGAGGACGATGAGTTCTGGAAGGACGTGCAGCCGCTCAAGCTCGGATCTCTCCCGCACCTACAGGTACGGTTGGGTTTTGTCCCGACCTGCAAGTGTAGTTGGGATCTCTTTCCGCACCTGCAGGTAGGGTTGGTTTTTTATCTCAGGCAGCGTCTTCACAGCGTACATGCACCCTTGACCCTTGACCCATTCACACAGGCTCTTCTTCGCTCTCCCTCCCCGCTCCCTCCTCCCCCCAGGACCCCGTGACAGTCGTGGGGGGTACCCCATAGGAGAGGAGGCACCATCTCAGTCACAAGCGGCGTCGTGTCGCGCATAGAGGTGACAGCGTACGTGCACGGGGCGTCAGAGCTGCTGGACGTGCAGATCGACGCCGCCATCAACTCAAGGGGGCACTATTTCAGACCCCTTCTTCCTCCAACCCTCCCCCTCCCCCTCTTCCCCCAACCCCCTCCCCACTTTCCCCACTCTCCCCACTCCCACCTCAACCCTCAGGACCCGGTGACAGTGGTGGGATATCCGATCGGTGGCGACACCATCTCAGTCACAAGCGGAGTGGTGTCGCGCATAGAGGTGACAGCGTACGTGCACGGGGCGTCAGAGCTGCTGGGCGTGCAGATCGACGCCGCCATCAACTCAGGGAACTCGGGCGGGCCGGCGTTCAACGCGGCGGGCGAGTGTGTGGGGATTGCGTTCCAGTCGATGCGGGGGGATGAGGCAGAGAACATCGGGTACATCATCCCCACGCCCGTCATCCACCACTTTATTTCTGACTACGATCGCAACGGCCACTACACCGGTGGGTACTATACACCCTGCTCCTTCAGAGAAAGATTGAGACAGCCCTGCTTCTAGAGCCTCACTTCTGTGCGTTGAGGTGAGCTGTCAGCTTGGGGAATTCGGGGGCCGAGGAGGGGAGCGTTCAATGCCGCGGGCGAGTGTGTGGGGATTGCGTTCCAGTCGATGCGCGACGATGAGGCGGAGAACATTGGGTATATCATCCCCACGCCGGTTATCCACCACTTTATCTCCGACTATGACCACAATGGCCACTACACCGGTGGGTGGGTGGGTAGGTGGGTGGGTGGGTGGGTGGGTGGGTGGGTGGGTGGGTGGGTGGGTGGGTGGGTGGGTGGGTGGGTGGGTGGGTGGGTGGGTGGGTGGGTGGGTGGGTGGGTGGGTGGGTGGGTGGGTGGGTGGGTGGGTGGGTGGGTGGGTGGGTGGGTGGGTGGGTGGGTGGGTGGGTGGGTGGGAGATGCATTCTGCGTGGTGATTGAGGCGGGGCACAAGGGAGATGTATTCTGCGTGGTGATTGAGGCGGGGCACAAGGGAGATGCATTCTGCGTGGTGATTGAGGCGGGGCACAAGGGAGATGCATTCTGCGTGGTGATTGAGGCGGGGCACAAGGGAGATGAATTCTGCGTGGTGATTGAGGCGGGGCACAAGGGAGATGCATTCTGCGTGGTGATTGAGGCGGGGCACAAGGGAGATGCATTCTGCGTGGTGATTGAGGCGGGGCACAAGGGAGATGCATTCTGCGTGGTGATTGAGGCGGGGCACAAGGGAGATGCATTCTGCGTGGTGATTGAGGCGGGGCACAAGGGAGATGCATTCTGCGTGGTGATTGAGGCGGGGCACAAGGGAGATGCATTCTGCGTGGTGATTGAGGCGGGGCACAAGGGAGATGCATTCTGCGTGGTGATTGAGGCGGGGCACAAGGGAGATGCATTCTGCGCGGGGTGATTGAGGCGGGGCACAAGGGAGATGCATTCTGCGTGGTGATTGAGGCGGGGCACAAGGGAGATGCATTCTGCGCGGGGTGATTGAGGCGGGGCACAAGGGAGATGCATTCTGCGCGGGGTGATTGAGGCGGGGCACAAGGGAGATGCATTCTGCGCGGGGTGATTGAGGCGGGGCACAAGGGAGATGCATTCTGCGCGGGGTGATTGAGGCGGGGCACAAGGGAGATGCATTCTGCGCGGGGTGATTGAGGCGGGGCACAAGGGAGATGCATTCTGCGCGGGGTGATTGAGGCGGGGCACAAGGGAGATGCATTCTGCGTGGTGATTGAGGCGGGGCACAAGGGAGATGCATTCTGCGCGGGGTGATTGAGGCGGGGCACAAGGGAGATGCATTCTGCGCGGGGTGATTGAGGCGGGGCACAAGGGAGATGCATTCTGCGCGGGGTGATTGAGGCGGGGCACAAGGGAGATGCATTCTGCGCGGGGTGATTGAGGCGGGGCACAAGGGAGATGCATTCTGCGCGGGGTGATTGAGGCGGGGCACAAGGGAGATGCATTCTGCGCGGGGTGATTGAGGCGGGGCACAAGGGAGATGCATTCTGCATGGTGATTGATTACAAATCTCACATTGTTTGAATCCCCTCTCCCTGCCCTTCTCTCGTCCGTTCACTCTTTCCTCTCCAGGGTTCCCCATTCTGAGAGTGGAGTGGCAGAAGATGGAGAATCCAGACATGCGTAAGGCGCTGCGGATGGGTGGTCGGGCAGAAGGAAGATGCCTTGTATGGTGATTTTGAATCCAACACTGTCTAGATCCGCTCTCCCTGCCCTTCTCTTGTCTTTTCCCTCCTTGCTCCCCAGGTTTCCCCATCCTGGGAGTGGAGTGGCAGAAGATGGAGAATCCAGACATGCGCAAGGCGCTGGGCATGGAGGCGGGGCAGAAGGGCGTGAGGGTGAGACGGCTGGAACCCACCTCGCCTGCCGCCCAGCTGCTACAGACTTCAGACATCTTGCTCTCCTTCGATGGCGTGGCAGTGGCAAATGATGGCACAGGTGCGTGTGTGTGCCTATATTGGTAAGCTAGTTTGCAGACGTCTCAAACGTCTGCAAACTCGATGTGGGGATGGAGGCGGGGTGTGAGGGTGAGACGGCTGGATCCAACCTCCCCTTCTGCAGGCTTCAGACATCCTGCTGTCCTTTGATGGCGTGGCTGTGGCCAGCGATGGCACTGGTGTGTGCCTTGATCTGGTGGCTTGGCGGCTCAGGTGTGTGCCTTGATCTGGTGGCTTGGCGGCACAGGTGTGTGCCTTGATCTGGTGGCTTGGCGGCTCAGGTGTGTGCCTTGATCTGGTGGCTTGGCGGCTCAGGTGTGTGCCTTGATCTGGTGGCTTGGCGGCTCAGGTGTGTGCCTTGATCTGGTGGCTTGGCGGCACAGGTGTGTGCCTTGATCTGGTGGCTTGGCGGCTCAGGTGCGTGCCTTGATCTGGTGGCTTGGCGGCACAGGTGTGTGCCTTGATCTGGTGGCTTGGCGGCTCAGGTGTGTGCCTTGATCTGGTGGCTTGGCGGCTCAGGTGTGTGCCTTGATCTGGTGGCTTGGCGGCTCAGGTGTGTGCCTTGATCTGGTGGCTTGGCGGCTCAGGTGTGTGCCTTGATCTGGTGGCTTGGCGGCTCAGGTGTGTGCCTTGATCTGGTGGCTTGGCGGCTCAGGTGTGTGTGATACCGAGTTTTTTCGTACTCTGGAGATGTCTCAACGGGGTTCAGTCCAGCTGCTGCAGACGCCCGACATCCTGCTGTCCTTTGGTGGCGTTGCAGTTGCCACTGACGGCACGCCCCTTCCTCTCTCCTCCCCTCTCCCCCCCCCCGTGCCATTCCGCACGGGCGACGCATAGGCTTCAGCTACCTGGTGTCTCAGAAGTATGAGGGCAAGACGGCACAGATCAACATGCTGCAGGCCGGCAAGGTGCCTTCCTGAGACGTCAGAAGCTCCTCCTGATTAAACCCACTCTCGCACACCTCCCCTGTCCCCCCGATTGCAAACCCTCCTCTTCCTTCCCCCCGTCCACGCTCCCCCTTGCCCTGCACTCCCCCTCACCCCCTTCACCCCCTTCCCCCAGTGCCATTCCGCAAGGGCGAGCGCATAGGCTTCAGCTACCTGGTGTCTCAGAAGTACGAGGGGGAGACGGCGCAGATCAGCGTGCTGAGGGCCGGCAAGGTGCTGCAGCTGCAGGTGGAGCTGAGGCGGCACAAGCGCATGGTGCCCGTGCACATCGCAGGGCTGCCTCCCTCCTACTTCATCGTGGCGGGGATTGTCTTTACGTGGGTCACTGTGCCCTACTTGAAGGCGGAGGTGAGGCTTTAAGTGGTTCTGCCCTGAGGCGATGCGATCTAGTGCCCAGAGCAAGCAAGGTGCTGCAGCTGCAGTTGGAGCTGAGGAGGCATAAGCGCATGGTGCCTGTGCACATTGCACGGCTGCCTCCCTCCTACTTCATAGTCGCTGGAATCGTGTTCACCTGGGTGACTGTGCCCTATTTGAAAGCTGAGGTTAGTTGCAGTGTGAGGTAGAGCGAGAGGTGGGCTTTTTGCGGCACAAGCGGATGGTGCCAGTGCAGATTGCAAGGCTTCCCCTCTCCTACTTCATCGTTTAGGGTCACTGTGCAGGATCGTGTTTACCTGTGTCACTATGCCATACCTCAGGGCAGAGGTGATTTCGTGTTCTTTCCCCACCCACCCCACCCATCCCAACCACCAACACCCGCCACTATCACGAAACTGTTGCTCCTCCCGAATCCCTGTGTGCTTGTGTGCCTGCTTCTTGACAGTACGGCAAGGACTAGGACTCACAGCTGTCCCCTGGCCGTTGTTCCCTCCCTGTGTATCCTAACAGTACGGCAAGGACTATGACTACGATGCGCCGGTGAGGCTGCTGGATAAGCTGATGCACCGTATGAGACAGTCGGATGATGAGCAAGTGGTGGTCATCTCTCAGGTGCGTGACTGTAATGAGTGTGTGACTGTAGCAGGTTGTGGACTTTTCATGCCGGTTCTCACTGTAATTGGTGTGCGGAACATCAGGTGTGAGGAAGTTGATGTGTGCGGAACATCAGGTGTGAGGAAGTTGATGTGTGCGGAACATCAGGTGTGGGGAAGTTGATGTGTGCGGAACATCAGGTGTGGGGAAGTTGATGTGTGCGGAACATCAGGTGTGAGGAAGTTGATGTGTGCGGAACATCAGGTGTGAGGAAGTTGATGTGTGCGGAACATCAGGTGTGAGGAAGTTGATGTGTGCGGAACATCAGGTGTGGGGAAGTTGATGTGTGCGGAACATCAGGTGTGAGGAAGTTGATGTGTGCGGAACATCAGGTGTGGGGAAGTTGATGTGTGCGGAACATCAGGTGTGAGGAAGTTGATGTGTGCGGAACATCAGGTGTGAGGAAGTTGATGTGTGCGGAACATCAGGTGTGGGTAAGTTGATGTGTGCGGAACTCAAGCCTCTATGGAAGCTGGTGCACACCGCATGAGGCAGTCGGACGACGCGCAAAGGTTGTCATCTCACAGGTGGGTGAGTATAACAAGTGCGTGCCCGTTCCCCATGCCCCGTTCCCCATGCCCCGTTCCCCATGCCCCGTTCCCCATGCCCCCTTCCCCATGCCCCCTTCCCCCATGAGCAGGTGCTGGTGGCGGATGTGAACATCGGGTACGAGGAGGTGGTGAACACGCAGGTGGTGGGCTTCAACGGCGTGCTGGTGAAGAACCATCATGGGGCATATGTGTCAAGAATAAACCCCTGTTGCATGTATGCCCTCCCACGACCCCCTTTCCCCATGCGCAGGTGCTGGTGGCAGACGTGAACATCGGCTACGAGGAGGTGGTGAACACGCAGGTGGTGGGCTTTAACGGCGAGCCAGTGAAGAACCTGCTGCAGCTCTCTCGCCTCGTGGACGACTGCACTGACCCCTTCATGAAATTCGACCTGGATTACGACCAGGTAGGCCTGGGGGATTGCAGATCAATGGATGGGGTGTTTGGGTGTCTACAAGGTGTGGTGGTGGAGGAGTGCACTGAGGCAATCATGCCTTTCGATCTGGACTACGATCAGGTGGGCCCGGGGGATTGCGGTTCAACGGAGGGGAAATAGTGTTTGGTTGTCCACAAGGTGTGGCTGGTGGAGGAGTGCGCTGAGCCATTCATGAAGCTCGATCTTGATTACGACCAGGTAGGGGGTGGGGGGAGGGGGGGAGGGAGGTTGTTATTCGACGGAGGGACAGTGTTGTTTGGTAGGCGTGGCCGGTAGAGGAGTGCACTGATCCGTTTTTTTAGTTTGATCTAGATTATGACCAGGTAGGGCTTGGGGTGGGGGGGGGGGGGGGGGGGGGAAGGGGGGGGTGCTATTCAACTGAAAAAAAGGGTGGTGTTCCGTGTCTAGAAATCCGCTTGTGCCATTGAAATGGGCATCCTGCATGCTTGTTTAAAATGGGCATGGGTGTGTGTGCAGGTGTTGGTGCTGGAAACAGCTAAGGCCAAGAATGCGACACCTGACATTCTTGCGATGCACTGCATCCCCTCGCATTGCTCCAATGACATCAAAGAAGGCCATCTGCCCACTGTTGTGTGATAAGGGTGAGGCATGACATGATCATATAATCAAGACACCTATCATCCAGGAAAGTGCTTATAGGCAGTAGAAACAGTCAGTCTTGCTAATTTGCTCACAATGATTTCCAGGTTCTCAAATATATCCCGTCTTGGTGTGTAGATCACTAACATTGGATAGCTCTTACTCTGATTATAGACAAGGATGATCTAACTTGTTATCGCGCTAATAATGAGTACGGAAGGCTTGGTTCGGCATTTTCCAGGGCTCAGCCAGGAACAGTGCGCTCCCTGCTCGGGCAAGGCAGCACTGCCATCCGCCAGTGCTATGAGCTAATTTCCGCGCATCGGCTCCCGTGCAATTCAGTTCAGTTCAGTTCAGCGACTATCATTATTGATCAGGATCAAACATCTATTTTAAATCGTGCATCGTCGTCGTCGGCGGAGGCTACTTAATCCGACTGATGTTTCTTCCGTGCTGCTAATTATCGCTGAGCTGAACTGAAGACGGACGAGCGTAATGCGTTTCAGGCTCCGGATTTTTCTCGCCGCTCGTCATGCCAGTGCTTACCATGCCAGTGCTAAACCTAGGTCAAGCTTAAGACTCTGTACCTAATTTCGAGAGCCGCCTTACTCGCGCGACATCGACGTAAATCCATCAATGCATAAAGGCTGCGCCATGCGTACTTGTTCACTAATACATGTCGTTTTCATCATCAGCGTCGCATTACTGCTGGTAACTCAGTCGCTAGCCGTCGGCGACCATCTAGACGGCGGGAGGTTGCAAGCAGACGAGGGGCTCAAGCGCGGCCACGAACTTTTCAAGGTGCGTCGCTCGATGGTTCAGTCATCTGGTTGACTTTTGAGTCGACTCAAAAGTCAGACGAGGCGCTCAAGCGCGGCCACGAGCTCTTCGAGGTGCGTCGTTCGATGATCCAGTTATCTGGTTACTTTAAGCACATGTCGAGGTGCCTCACAATACCCCTTCGAACCGCACTCTGCACCTTTTTCCCAACAATTCATGCAAATCCCTTTCCTCCTGACGTTAATCCTTCCTGCCAATCCCTCCCCCCCTTTCCCCAACACTTCCTTTCCCTCACAGCAATGGGAGGAGGCGTACGGGCTGCAAAAAGAGTCCCTTATGCCCCCGGAAAAGATTTCCCTTCCCGCTGACGTGGCAGCAGCTCCGCATTTGGAGGCGTGCAGCGAGGTGTCGGCGCACAGACGGGCGGCGGAGGAGCGAGGGCCCAATGGGGAGTCCCCTGAGTGGGCTCGACCTAAAGACTGCTGCGGATGCAACCCACAGCCACCATGGGTGTGTATGTGATGTGATTGTCTCATCTCATATCAGGCTCTGTCCCCTTGTTCCTCAAGAGGCATGATGATAAAACAGCTGTATCAGCGATGCCTTGGCCTTCATCCCTCTGTTCCCCATCGCAGCACCTCACCTGCTCATGACGTCAACCACCCTCCCCACCTCCTTACCCCTGTCTCCCCCGTTCTCCCTCCCTCTCATCCTTATTCCTCCTTGCAGATTCGCGGGTCCGACGCAGCCAATCTGGGCATGACACGTGTGGCACAGAGGGACATCTGGGAGCACCAGTTCCCGCCCAATCGGTGTGAGGAGCGGCGCCTGCTCATTGCTCACTGGGCCTACATCGCCCATGGGATCGGGTCACAGGTGAGTGAGTGTGATTCATAGTTAATGGGGTTAAATCTCTCTCACTTGCAAGTGAGGGGCGGCTCCTGCTCATTGCTCACTGGGCCTACATCGCCCATGGGATCGGGTCACAGGTGAGAGAGTGTGATTCATAGTCAGTGGGGTTAAATCTCTCTCACATGCAAGTGAGGGGCGGCGCCTGCTCATTGCTCACTGGGCCTACATCGCCCATGGGATCGGGTCCCAGGTGAGAGAGTGTGAGTTAGGCAGTCCAGGCATTGCATTTCCTTCATTTCCCCCCCTACTCTCTCCCTCTCGCCCTTCATCCCTCCCCCTGCGCACTCTCGTTCCCCACAGGTGCACATACTGACGGCCATTCTCAGCCTAGCCATGTGCCACAACCTCGTTCCCTGCCTTTGTGCCACAACCTCGTTCCCTGCCTTTGTGCCACAACCTCGTTCCCTACCTTTGTGCCCACAACGATCCTCCCCTCCTCCTCTCCCACTGCACATCCCTCCGTTCCCCCTTCTCTGCACGTTTGCACATAATGACGCCCACTCTCAGCCTAGCCATGTGTCACAACCAACCACCTCGCTTAATTTCCTCCCACCCCTCGTCCCCCTCGCCCCTGTTCCCCTCTCCCCTCCTCCTTTCGTCTTCTCAATACAGTTGCACATCATAACAGCCATTCTCAGCCTAGCCATGCGCCACAACCGCACGCTGGTTCTCCAGTATCCGTCGTTTGATCGCGCCAAGCACGACGAGTGCAATGGTGAGTTTGCTTATAGCGAGTATGTTAAATTGAACATAGTATGCGTATAGCGAGCACATCATCCTCACAGCAGTCTGGCAATGCATGAACCACACTCACTCACTCACCCACACGGTGCTGATCATTGCCCATGTCTCACTCACTCTCTCATGCTACCACTCACCCCCGCTTCTCCCCCCACCTCCTCACCCTCCTCTCACACATACAACCATCCACATTATTTTTAGTCACAATCACGTTTTCTCCCCTCCCCCCCCCTTTTCCTGCCCACACCAGCCACAGGAGCGTGGGGCACGTTCAACTGCTACTTCTTCCCTCTGACCTCTCCTGACTGCGAGGAGATCGCACTCAAGTCCAACAGCACCGGGGCGCTGCCGCCCTGCTGCACGCCCAGCACCAAGGAGGAGGTGCTTGCATCAGACCACCCCATCGTGTGCTTCCATGGGGAGCCCTTCAATGGGCTTCAGTTCGAAGCCAGCATTACCAGGTGAGGGATGAGGAGACAGGGCGACAGCAGTGGCTGTATTGCACCACCCAATTGTGTGCTTCCGTGGGGAGCCCTTCAGTGCGCTTCAGTTCAAAGCCAGGATTGCTAGGTGATTGGGATGAACGGGATGAGTGGGATGATTTAGAGACATCTGTCCTCCTGTTCCCTATGTCTGCCCCTAACAGCAAGTGGGATACAGCCTACTTGGAGCAAATATGGAAGAACTCTCAGCACACACTGCACACGCATCTCTTCCCTCCACTGCGTCTGCCCCTATATTGAAATTACTTTTGAGAATTCTCAAAAGTGATTTCAAGAACTCTCAGCACACATTGCACGCTTCTCTTCCCTCCCCTGCGTCTGCCCCTATCAGCCAGTGGGGCACAGCCTACCTGGAACGACCCAACATGATAGAGCTGCAGGGGCAGGTGGAGAGGGACGTTTGAAAGAGAAGTGAGAAAGAGTCTCAACATGCGATGCATACCTCCTTGCCAACCCCATTGTCCGCTCCTATCAGCCAGTGGGGCACGGCCTACTTGGAACGACCCAACATGATCGAGCTGCAGGGGCAGGTGGAGAGGGACAATCCGCAGCACATCAAGGTGAGAAATGCAGAAAGTGGATCCAGTGATGTTGGGGGATGGAGAGGTGGTGTGCCGTGATGAGGTTGTTTAAGGTGTGGTGCGGGGTGGCCCTCACTGTACCTCTGTGACTCCACCACACCACTTGCATGCAGACTCTTCCAACCTTTCCCCATGAACCCACCACCCATAACCTCCTTGTCTCCGCCTTCAATCACTCTCTCTCTCAGGTGCACTGATTTTTTGGAATTTTCAAAAGTCACACCCATCACAGGTGCACTGATTTTTGAGAATTCTCAAAAGTCACACCATCACAGGTGCACTGATTTTTTAGAATTCTCAAAAGTCACACCCATCACAAGTGCACTGATGGTGCAGCCAAAACCTGCTGCGCTTCATGCTGCGATGGCCTTCGCCACACCTTAGCAATCTCGCCAACCGCATCCAATCTACCTCACATCCGCTCGTTCCCCTTTCCCCCGAAGGTGCACTGGTGGCGCAGCCAAGCCTAGCGTTTCATGCTGCGCTAGCCCTTGCCGTACCTCTGCCATCTCACCAACCGGATTCATTCCCTTTCCACTCTGTCTCCACCGAATTCTCCCTCCTGCCCTCCCAATTGTCCCTTCGCTCGCAGGTGCACTGGTGGCGTAGCCAAGCACTACGCTTCATGCTGCGCTGGCCCTCACCGTACCTCTGCCATCTCACCAACCGCATCCGCCACGGTGCCTACGGGCTCCGCGTGGCAACCCACACGGTGCAGGCCCGCGATCGCAGCGCCGCCCTCCTCCGACTCTACAATGACCACCTTGCTGCTGCCTCCGCCTCTTCCCTCCCTGCTTCTGCCTCCTCAACGTCTCTCCGCCCCCTCAGTCTCAACCACACTGATCCATCTTTCCTTTCCTTTGCCGACCCATCCATGCAACTCCGGGCCTGGTCCGGGCTCGGCGTCGCCAGCTGCTCAGGCTCGGCAAGCTCTCCCGGACCTGCGCCAAGCTTCCGAACCTATCTGACGAGCCTGTACGAGGGGGTGGGGCGAGAGGCGTATATGCCTCGGCCGATGGTGAGCCTGCACATTCGGCAGGGCGACAAGGGGAGTGAGATGAAGCTGAGCTCTTTCAACTCCTTCATGTTCTATATGCACCGCCTCAGACTCCACGTTCCCGACATTCGATTTGTGTGGATCAGCACTGAAATGCAGGTATGGCGGCGAGGCATTCTCAAGGTGAGGTGTTCCCAAGGTGAGGTGTTCCCAAGGTGAGGTATTCCTTAGGTGAGGTATTCCCAAGGTGAGGTATTCCCAAGGTGTGGTATTCCCAAGGTGAGGTGTTCCCAAGGTGAGGTGTTCCCAAGGTGAGGTGTTCCCAAGGTGAGGTGTTCCCAAGGTGAGGAATTCTCAAGGTGAGGAATTCCCAAGGTGAGGTATTCCCAAGGTGAGGCAGTCCCAAGGTGAGGTATTCCTAAGGTGAGGCAGTCCCAAGGTGAGGTGTTCCTAAGGTGAGGCAGTCCCAAGGTGAGGTGTTCCTAAGGTGAGGCAGTCCCAAGGTGAGGTATTCCTAAGGTGAGGCAGTCCCAAGGTGAGGTATTCCTAAGGTGAGGCAGTCCCAAGGTGAGGTATTCCTAAGGTGAGGCAGTCCCAAGGTGAGGTATTCCTAAGGTGAGGCAGTCCCAAGGTGAGGTATTCCTAAGGTGAGGCAGTCCCAAGGTGAGGTATTCCTAAGGTGAGGCAGTCCCAAGGTGATGTGTTCCTAAGGTGAGGCAGTCCCAAGGTGAGGTATTCCTAATGTGAGGCAGTCCCAAGGTGATGTGTTCCTAAGGTGAGGCAGTCCCAAGGTGATGTGTTCCTAAGGTGAGGCAGTCCCAAGGTGATGTGTTCCTAAGGTGAGGCAGTCCCAAGGTGAGGTATTCCTAATGTGAGGCAGTCCCAAGGTGATGTGTTCCTAAGGTGAGGCAGTCCCAAGGTGATGTGTTCCTAAGGTGAGGCAGTCCCAAGGTGATGTGTTCCTAAGGTGAGGCAGTCCCAAGGTGAGGTATTCCTAAGGTGAGGCAGTCCCAAGGTGAGGTATTCTTAAGGTGAGGCAGTCCCAAGGTGATGTGTTCCTAAGGTGAGGCAGTCCCAAGGTGAGGTATTCCTAAGGTGAGGCAGTCCCAAGGTGATGTGTTCCTAAGGTGAGGCAGTCCCAAGGTGATGTGTTCCTAAGGTGAGGCAGTCCCAGGGTGATGTGTTCCTAAGGTGAGGCAGTCCCAAGGTGATGTGTTCCTAAGGTGAGGCAGTCCCTTTCCCCTCTCCTTCCCCTCTAACCCACCTCTCTTGTCAAGGCTGTGATTAGCCAATCAGTACAGTTCAAGGATTGTACCTTCTTTTACTTGCAGAACAAGAGGCAGCAGTGCGACCCTCCTCCACCGCTCACTCTCTCTTCCCCCCTCCTTCTCTTCCGTAGTTTTCCCATCTCTCCCACACCCCTCAATCCAAACACGCCTCCCCTTACTCCCTCCTTCAGTCTGTGATCGACCAATCAGCACAGTTCAAGGATTGGACCTTCTTCTACTCGCAGAACGAGAGGCAGCTGGGCGACATGCGGCTGATCGACTATGAGAAGAAGGCTGGCAGGGCACAGCTGGTGGGGGTGAGCTTTGCCAACCTGATTATCTCATCGGAGTGCGACTACTATGTGGGCGTGCTCGGGTCCAACTGGAACCGGCTGATCAATGAGATGCGGGCCACGAGTGGCAGGGTGTTTGCTGGTTATGTCGCGATAAACAATGGTGAATTCTAGCTGCGGCTTGTTTCAAATGTTGTGGTTGAGACTCACTTCTAGTTGCGGCCAATCAGGTGCAAATTACAGGTATTTTCCATGCCACAATAAATGCAGGTATTACAGGTATTTCCGACTGGCCCAGTTGTGGATGGCATTGGAGCCTAGTATATACAAAGTGTCAAATGTTGTAGTCTTACTGGTGTGTGTTATAGGGGGTACAATTGTTAGGGTTAGGTTTATGTACCCCAACCAACCTTAGTGAAACCAACACTTTCATTCTTGACATGGTATCACCTAGGAAAGGATCCTGTAGGATCCCGTTCCTCTTGTTCACGTCCGTAGCGCCCGAGCCTGTCCCGTACCCTAGTGCCCGTTACGCCCGTACTTTCCTCTAGCGCCTCTCGCGCTCGTCTCTCTCGTGCCCTAGCGCCCGATGCGCCTGCGTCGCGTCGCCCCTGCTATCCCGTCCCGTCCCGTCGCCCCTGCTGTCTCGTCCCGTCGCCCCTGCCGTCGCGTCGCCCCTGCTGTCCCGTCCCGTGCCGTCGCCCCTGCTGTCCCGTCGCGTCGCCCCCTGCTGTCCCTTCCCGTCCCGTCGTCCCTGCTGTCCCGTCCCGTCCCGTCGTCCCTGCTGTCCCGTCCCGTCCCGTCGTCCCTGCTGTCCCGTCCCGTCGCGTCGCGCCGTCCGTCCCGTCCCGTCCCGTCCCGTCCCGTCCCGTCCCGTCCCGTCCGCGTCGCGCTTCCCGTCCCGTCCCATCCCGTCGCACGCACCCCGTGCGCCTTGCCCGTCCGTCGCGCCCCCGCTGCGCCCTGCCCGTCCGTCGCGCCCCCGCTGCGCCCTGCCCGTCCGTCGCGCCCTGTGCGCCCTGCCCGTCCGTGCCTGTCGCGCCCATCCCTGCCAGTCGCGTCTGTCCCGTTGTGTCGCACTGTCTGCCACGCCCTGCACAGGCCCTTTAGGCGTTTAGGGTTTCGGCAGCAGCAGTATCCACCTCTACGCTTCCGCTATGGCGACCCCTAGGGTCCTGCGCTTTGACGCTGAGGGTAGGCTGCTCGAGTTCTCGGTCTGGCTCCTGCGTGCGCGCCGCCTCCTAGAGAGCCAAGTTTAGGCACACGAGACTCTGTGGGCGCACACTTCCGGTGACCTACCTGAACCAGCTGACCTTGCACCCTTAGCAGCTGACCCCAAACCTGCAGACAGTGGCCGTTACGCACGCGAGCGCGCTGACGTGACAGCGTGGAAGTCGCGTGATGCTGCGGCCGGCATCGCCCTCAGCAGCCTCCTCCATGAGTCTGAGGAGACCCACTTGACTCGGGTTCGCACGCCTAGTGAGTTCCTGACTGCGATCAAGGCCCGCTACGCTTCTCCCACCACTATCTCTCTTGGTCGCCTGTTCCTTCCGTTCCTGTTTCCTGACCTCGCCTCGTTTGAGCGCACCGCTTACTTGATCACTCATCTGTGCTCGCTCGATTCTAGCTACCGCGCTGCTTGCACTGACGCACAGCTTGCACTGCTCCCTCCCCCCATGGCGATTACTATCTATTTCATCGCCACTAGCCTCCCTGACCACCTTGCCTCGGTTCGTGACGCGCTTCTTCGGAAGCACCCTAGTGAGCTCACTATCGAGGTCCTTGAGTCGGCCCTCAAGGACGTCGAGAGCAACCTCCGCTCGGTAGCCTCTGCCTCTAGTGTTGTGCCCCCTCCACTGTTCCACGGGTGCACTGTCCCTCAGCTGCCCACCTTTACTGCCTCCCTCGCCACTGCCGCTACTGACGCGACCGCAGCTGCTGTTACGACTTCTTCGCGGTCTCGGGGTAGGAGTGGCAGGAGGGGCTGTCAGGGTGCGGGCAGAGGCGGTGGAGGCAGTGGGGATGACGCGGCAAGCGGCGGCGGCGGGAGTGCAGGCGCTGGAGGAGCGCCTCGTGCAGCGGACGGTGACTCCCCTGCTGCAGCTGGTGGAGGTGACGCCCGGGTTTGTCAGCCACCTACTGGTCTGCCAGCCACAGGGGGTGGAGCAGCGGCGTGGTACCTGACTCGACAACAGCAGCAGCAGCAGCCCCTCCCCTCGCAGCAGCCACAGCAGTAGCGGCAGCAGCAGCAGGTTTCGGGGCAGGGGTCAGGACAGCGTCAGCTACAGCGCGGTGTTGTCCACCCTCCCTGTACCTATCACGTTCTGACAGGTGCCCGCCGCAGCCAGCCTTGCGACCGCAGCCACCCACCGGGTCAGTGCTTTGCTCAGCTTACTGATACGGTTCGATTGGCCTACGGCATTGACGGCCCTGCCCCTGACTGGCTTCCCCTTGTTCAGACGTACGGCCCCGCTCTGTGGGGCATGTCGGCTTCTCAGCTGGTTGATCTCTTCGAAATTCCTCCTGCTATGTATGCTGTTGTTGACTCCAGTGCTTCTGACTCTGTATACTCGAGTGTTGTTAGCTTAGGTGCTAGTCTTGTTGAGGTGTCTGTTGCTAGTGTAGGTACTTGTGTAGACACTAGTCCAGGAGCTACTCCGGAGGACGCTTCGCTATCTTTCACTCTGGACTCCGGAGCTTCCCACTGTTTCTTCCGCGACTGCACGACAATTACCCCGCTTCCTACGCCGGTCTCTGTAGCACTGGCTGATCCCACTTCAGGACCAGTCACTGCTCGCTACACTACTACGCTTCCGTGCTCGGCTGTTCCCTCCGGTTCTCTGACTGGCTTCCACGTCCCCTCGTTCTCGAGGAACTTGGTGGGCGTGAGGCCGCTTGTGAGTCAGCACGTGGGTGTGTGGATTGAGCCTTCTGGCGAGACTGCGGTTTGTGTCGACGGGGACACGTACGCGCCTCTCGCCACCTTTACCGCTGAGCCGAGCTCTGGTCTCTAAACACTTCAAACTGGCCCCCGAGGGCAAGCAGCGGCAGCAGCAGCAGTAGCAGCTACTGCCCCCAACCCCTGTCACTGTCCCCCGTCAGGTTCCCGCGTCTCACCAGGTTGCCGCGTCTCCCTAGGTAGCTGTGTCTGGTCAGGTTCCAGTGTCTGGTCCAGTTGTTGCGTCGTGCTCCTGCCGGTCGCTTGCCCACCCCACTGTTTTGTGGCACCACCGGATGGGGCACCCGTCCATTTCACGCCTGCGCGCTATGTCTAGTCAGTGTCTTGTCTTAGGCCTCCCGCGTGTCTTGCCGTCGTTGCCGCCTTTGCTTGCGCCACCTTGTGGTCCCTATGTCAAGGGTCGACTGCGCGCCACCGAGCCCTTCAAGACTCTCCACTTGGACGTCTAGGGCCCCGCCTCGCGCCCTGGCCCTGAGCGAGAGAGTTTCTTTCTCGTGGTCGTTGACGACTACTCCCGCTACACCACAGTGTTCCCCCTGGCGAAGAAGTCCGACGTGACTTCTATGCTGATCCGGTGGTTGCTTACCACTGCAGACACTCGTGGTCGTCGTGTCAGCTGTCTTCACTTTGACCACGGGGGTGAGTTTCGTCTGGCATTCTCGCTGGGTTCTGACGCGAGCAGGGCATCCGTCAGTCCTGGACGCTTCCAGAGTCCCCACGCGAGATGGGGTTGCTGAGCGCCGCATAGGCTTGGTCATGGAGATCGCCTGCACCTCCATGACTCAAGCCTGTGCCCCCCATTTTTTGTGGCCCTACGCGGTTCGGTACGCCGCTCACCAGCTGAACCTTTGGCCACGTGTCTCTCGGGCAGGGGTTTCACCGACCAGTCTTTGGACCAGGTCCCCTGGTGCTGCGTCGCGTTTTCGTGTCTGGGGTTGCTTGGCACTTGTTCGCGACACCTCTGCGGACAAGATCTCGCCTCGCGCTGTTTCCTGCGTGTTCCTTGGTTTCCCGGAGGACTCGTCTGACTACACCTTTTACCACCCTCCCCTTCACCGGTTCTTTGACTCTCGTGACGTCCGTTTCGACGAGTCCATCCCCTACTACGTCAGGTACCCCTGTCGAGGTCTCCCGGTTCCTCCTGCCCCTCTCTTCCTGACTTCAGCTCCCCCTCGTGCTCCCCCGGTACAGCCTCCCCCCCCTAGTCCTGCCCCGTCAGGTGTGTCCTACGCTACCCCTCCCCCCTCGGTAGCCCCTCAGGTGCAGCCTCCTTCCCCGCAGTCCTCCTCCCAGCCTACAGCAGACCCTGCGGGAGCCGGTTTTCGTGGCGAGGACCCTGGAGGTGCTAGCTCTAGAGGTGCTGGAGTTGGAGCAGAGAGCGTACCTGTGCGAGGTCCTGGTTCTGGGGGTGCTGGAGTTGGAGCTGAGCCCGTGACTGCAGGAGACTCTAGTCTTCGAGGAGCTGGTGTTAGTGGAGCTGTCCCTGGGGGTGCTACGACTGGGGGTGCGCCTTCTGCTGGACCTGGAGAGCCTAGGACGGACCCTGTTACTTCTGGTGGTGCTGGCTCTGGGGGTGGTGTGACTGGTTCTTTGGAGAGCGGTCCTTGGGCTACCACCGCTCCGGACACTACTCCTCCCCCCCACCCCTACCCGACCCGGCACCAGGCCCGTGTTCGCCGTGCCCGTGAGGCGCAGCTGCAGTTGGAGCGAGAGGAGAGAGAGTTGGAGCGGCAGCAGCTGGAGCTACAGCGGCTGGAGGAGGAGCAGCAGCAGCAGCAGCCGGAGCAGGAGAAGCCGCAGCAGCAGCCGCAGCAACCACCTCCTCCTCCTCCTGTCTCTGGTCTTCAGACCCTCGGTCTCCTCTCTCCTTCTCCTCCCTCCCCCTCCTCTCCTCCCGTCTCTAGTCCTTCGCTTCCTCCTCCTGACCCCTCCCTAGCTGTTTTCCCTCCTCCTCTGCCCCCATTGTCCCCTCCTCTTTCTCACACTTGGCCTTCGTGTTGCTCTCCTCGTGCTCGTCCCTCGTCCCGTGTTCCCTTCACTGACCTTCGTACTGCCCTGTTTCGTTCTAGTCTGCCTCGTTTGTCTCCTTCTGTACTTCCTTCTCCTCCTTAGTCGGCTCTCACTGCTTCCCTCTCTACTCCTGTCACATACTACTACCGCACGTACCGTCCTGTTCTCTCTCGTGTTCTCGCCTCTCTTGTTACCGACCCACGTG